TTGAAAAAGACTGTTGGTCAGCTCTTAAAAGGGGTGTAGTCTTGAAAAAGACTGTTGGTCAGCCCTGAAAAGGGGTGTAGTCTTGAAAAAGACTGTTGGTCAGCCCTGAAAAGGGGTGTAGTCTTGAAAAAGACTGTTGGTCAGCTCTAAAAAGGGGTGTAGTCTTGAAAAAGACTGTTGGTCAGCCCTGAAAAGGGGTGTAGTCTTGAAAAAGACTGTTGGTCAGCTCTTAAAAGGGGTGTAGTCTTGAAAAAGACTGTTGGTCAGCCCTGAAAAGGGGTGTAGTCTTGAAAAAGACTGTTGGTCAGCTCTTAAAAGGGGTGTAGTCTTGAAAAAGACTGTTGGTCAGCCCTGAAAAGGGGTGTAGTCTTGAAAAAGGGGGTCGACCGTGGCGCATTGAGTAGAGAGGGTGCTCCTAACCCTAACCGCCAGGAACTGCAAGGTTGGTGGTTCAAGTCCCGGCTGCTCCATGTTCCATGTCGAAGTGTCCTTGAGCAAGACACCTAACCCCTAATTGCTCCCTGGGCAAAAATGTAAATGCCATGGGTTAAAAATGTAATGTATGTCGCTTTGGATAAAAGCGTCAGCTAAATGACTTGTAATGTAATGTAATGTAAAAAAGACTGTTGTTTTATTTGTCGCTAAATGACTCAATGTAACCTCTGAAAAATGGTGATGAATCTTCCAAAGAACTACTTACGTCTGTAAAGGACAAATATCGCAGATACTTTCCAGAGAAAATATCCAACTGCACTCTTCTGGAACCAGAAACGCAATGATTTAGTGCACCTTGAGACTCATCAAAGGATTTGTTGATGATGTCACAATTCCGTTGTCATGGAAATGCAGCCCGTGTCATAGAGTGGACTCCATGACAACGGAATGCAAAATACAACAAAACTCACTTTGTGTGGTTTTATATATACACATTATATATATATATATATATATATATATATATATATATATATTATATAGAGGATATTTATAGATATATATTAGAGCGGTCTATTTATTTTTAAAAAATCACTAATTCATCTTACTCTAGCCTAATCACAATGTGTTTTTTCTTTTAAAGACACTGAGGAGTGAACAATTGTAAACGTGATGAGGCCGATATATAAAGTCCCATTCACCTGTGTTTCTTCCTGCACCATGAAGCCCATTTCTGAACCACGTTTTGGATGAAGAAGCACTGATATTGAGACGTGCTTTCAGACACGAGAGGATGTTTTGGACAGATCAGACCAGCGTGAAGCCATCTCACCATCCCACACATGCTCCGTATGGCACGGCGCTTTTTTGCAAGTCTTTATATGCCGAACCTGTAAATAAAGGCACTATTTGCTGTACTGTCAGAAGTGTGTGTTTGGCACTGAAGTCCTTGGCACACATCTTTATTACCTTCCCTGGCCCCAGAAGAATGTGTCACATCAAAGAAGATTTCCACAAGACAGTCCACATATTCCGTGTAAATGGGTGATTGTGTTTGATGTTGAGCGAGATGGATGTAATGGTAAAATATGTAAAATATGTTAAAACATTGTCTTGTGCTAAACCTGGGTCTCAAGTGTCCGTATTTGACCCTGACGTGCAAAGAGCAGCATGATACAAAATGTTAGTTTGCAGCTGTGTCCTGAGAAGGCCTCGATCTCGATCTCATAGACGCTTCGATACAAGGGACTTCTGTTCATGGCCTTGGTTCATATCTTATTTGCTTCTCGTACTTGGCACTGAGGATAGTCTTCACATGTGTATAAAAAGTCAGCGTTTTTACTGCTCGGAAACGCCATTTACACCGAACGCTGAAATACGTGCTTGTGTGTTCGACCTCCTGCTTGCAAGCAATAGTTAGAGGCAGATATCTGCGGAGAGTTGCTCACGTAATCTTTTTCTCTTCTAAATAAATGTTAACTTTTTTACTTTAATTGATCAACGTGTTGTGATCCTTCTCAACCAACCAACTCGGAGGGATTGGAGATCCTGACAATGTACTGGAGAATGTAGCATGTATGAAGAGGGCAGGTTCTGCAGGTGGAACACAGTCAGTAGCTGTCCCACCCTGGATCCCTTCCATCACAGGCCTGTCTTTTCCTCAGCTGGGGTGAAGCCTGGTGCTCGTGCCCCCCGCCAGACAAATGAGCCCTCTTAACTGCTTAAATCAGTTTAGATAAAATATGTTATTATAAGTTATTTCTACACCATTTGCAAACTGAGCACTCATCAACTGGCCAAATGCTTTTATATTTTATCTTAGCCTGTTCCTGTCTTGTTTATTCTGTATGAACCTTAGTTGTAGAAAGATATTTAGAATTAGACACAGGAAGATGAATTCCCTCTGCTCACTTTTAAGGCAAAGTAGGATAAATAATAATACTATATTGTATTTATATAGTGCTTTACATGGTAGGCTACTCAAAGACACTTAACAGTAAAGCCAGCACATTTAGCACATAAACACAGATATAAAACCAACACGTAGAAAAATCATATTAAAAGCCAATAAAACAGTCTACAACTTTCCTAGCAAGTACATATTTTTTAAATCCTTTCGCATTCAGTCGGTCCACGATTGTTTGCCTGGCTTTTTCTCTTTGTTTAATTACAGCTGCAGCTCTTTATTTTCTTCCTTCTTGGCTTCAGGTACAGTCACGAGCGGATGACAGGATGCAAAGCTCAATATATGTTATCAGAATTTGCTAGGTGGCATTTTCAGCCTTTTTTGCCTGCAGAAGAGTTAACATCACGTACTGATGGCTATAAAACATCACTAAACATAGATCAAACAATGCGGTGAGCATTACACATCATAGTGCTCTTTGCACTGCAGGCCTGAGATGGAAATACTTTTACCATGATCCAAATAATTGCCTATGAGAGCAACATGTAATCCAGCAATGAACACATTATCTGTTTAGTGAAAGAGTGTACAACTAATAACACTCTTACAACAAAGCAATTGGTTAACCAGTATTTTCGGGCTTCATGAGCAAATACAGAATCCCTTTGTGTTCATTTGCAAAGCCGCATTAGGACACACATCACTTTATTTAATACGCTGCTTGCAAGTCGCTGTGTTGTGCCAGACTCAATAAAACATTTAGGACAAACCCACAGTCACGAAGATACTCATCTAACGTTACGTGGACTCTGCATGAGGAAGAGGAGGAGGAAGAGGACGAGGCTCCATGTCGATAAATACCAACTTTCCACCGACCACTTTTCCCACCCGGTGTCGCTCCGATCTGCCGGCGCATCGCGGAGAAAACCAATCGGGTGTCTGGATGCTAAATGAAGCTTAGGCGAAAATTCAGTCAGGAAGACTGGACAGGCTGTGCCGTTCCCTGGTGGCCTCCTCTCTCCCTGGGGGCGCACGGCCAGCTGATTAGGGGCGGGGTCGAGTAGTATCAGGCGTGGGTGTCGTTGCCGTAAACCAATCGCATTGGGGCAGGCAACGTTAAAAAACTGTTCTCCTCTCTTTTGCTGTCAGTTGTCATTTCAGCACGCTCCCAAGGTGACCCGCCACCACCCCTGACACCTCCAATCTACAGCAGAACCTGGCATAGCTGGAGAGTTATGCAACTTGGGCTCTACCACCACCACCACCAGTGTCTGGACTCCCAAGGGGGGGATATGCCTCGTCTCGGCTCGAGATCCCGGCCCCGGGTCTGTCCTGCGGCAGGATGGAGTCCAAGCCCCAAACAACTCTCAATATCATATTATACCTGTTATAATAAATCATTGTTCAAATTTCAACAAGTCTCTCCGGATTGAAATGTTTATACTTCTCATCCAAACACAATCACATTCACTCTGTCCGGATAGCGCCATTTATCTGGAGAAGCCGGAAGTAACGTGACTGTTTTTAAAATGTAAAGAGTAGAAAGTACAGATATTGTCGTGAAAATGTAAGGAGTAGAAGTAAAAGGTCGTCTGAAAAATAAATACTCCAGTAAAGTATAGATACCCAAAATTTCTACTTAATACAGTAACGAAGTATTTGTACTTCGTTACTTGACACCTCTGCATAACACTGATGTTTCTACCACTCAAAAGGCCGAGGGAGATGATTGTCAAACTTGTCCTCCATCAGAGTTTGATCTAGACTCCTACTCTGGCAATGAACGTGACAAAGAACTGGAGGAGATGGCGGTGGAGAGCTACCACACCTTTTCTGTAGTCGGGTCTAATCTAAACTCAGGCAAAGTCACAAACTTGGGACCAAGCTGTCTGGGAGTTCATGAGTCTCCCCTCAGCACCGATATCTCATCAAGTCTACCAATTCTAAAGACAAGCGCCAAGTCGCCAGTGGAAACACAGGTGAAAACGGCAAAGACAACCCCTCGAAGAAAAGTAAGCCGCTTATCCACTCTCACTACAAATGGGTTGGAATCAGGAGAAAATCGAAAACTGAACTTGTATATTGGTGACATGGAACAGGAAGAAATAGCACCAGAGAACTGCTACACTCGTCCTTTAGAGTCTGACAGTCCTCTCTGGGTAAAACTGGAGATAAAAGGGGAGGAATATGATCCACGCTATGGCAGTACGACTCCAGAACCAGAACCACAACGTGGTCCTCTTTATGATGTCAAATCAGAAAATTAGAATCCTCAATGTTTGCTGGACGCTTGGATCAAAGAAGAGGAGGAACATGTGCCCGATGACTCTCACAGGTCTGGAGTTCACTAACAGGAGGTGAGCATCACTTGATGTTCTTGGTTCGAGCCGACACAAGAGACGGGTTAGTTTTAGGCTGAACGGTCGCTATGAAGATGTATGTTTTGCTGGCGAAGAATGTAGATGATGACATATTGTAAATTGGTTTGAAAGTATATATTTTAAAAGTTTGCTAAACCTTTCTAAAAAAATTGATTGATCTGACTAAATGTTCCATGCATGACCGGTCAGTATTCATGATTTGAAGCTTTGTTTTAAAGGCGGTTTGATTGTGCCACAGTTGGACTTTAGTTAATGTTCCGTGGGGAGCCACGGTCATGTATGTTTGTATAAGTATCTTTTTGACTTTATTCAATGGCCAACAGATGAGTGTATTGCGTTGTTTGTTTTGCGTTACTCATCTTTTACTTTTGCTACCACTTCATATGGCGCTAATGCCGTTTCTGACGTTCAGCCATTCTATTTTTTTCAAATTTAAAAACTACTGTAAATTACTAACGCTGATGTAAATGGTTAAAGAATCAGTGATCGTTTTATTGTTATCATTTATTTCTGTACATTTTATAAAAACACATACTGTGCAGTAATTTTACCTGGTTTTATTTTTTTTTGGGAATGCTAATTCAACAAATATTGTTCGGCAAATCTTAATTCAACATTTTAATCTTTTCAGTCCTTTTTTGGATTTCATACTTGGTGTGTAATGTACAGCCAAGAGCATGTAATGTAATTGTTACAGTTGAGCATCAGAATCTCATTTTTGGTCAAAATGTAGCTAATCTTGTACTGGTGACATGGAAGTAGTAGCACAAAACCCATGTTATATCTCCTAATCAGGTGGAAGCGGCTCTATATATTCGGTACAATGCATCTCATCAACATTTGTATTCCTTCAGGCCGCTGCTTATCACATATCAGTGTTTTCTCTCTAAACCAATTACTACCAACAGTACTCTCAAGGGGCATAAGCTATTGTCAGGTATTGTCAACATCCTAATAAAATAAACTGCAACTACAACTTTTATGTTTACATTTGTGCTGGTTTGTTGCTAACCAGGACACCCTTTTATCTCAAGACATTACATACATCAGAGATGATGAGACCTTTGATAGGGTAACGTGAGTTGAGGCAGAAAAGGGCAGTGACGGTAAAATCTGTTTTTAAAGGCAGCTCTTGCTACAAATAGGCCCTTCCAGATGTATCCAGCTGTTGATAAACATGCAAATGTCCTCTCTTTATTTGGTTGACTCGTAAAGCTGCAGGTCTAGTTTGACCCAAACTTCTCCAGTGGGGACTTCGTGCAGTAGCAGGCGACGGTTCGCGGCTCCTTTGCTCTCCATCTCTTTCTTTATAGTTGCCACAGGAACTTCAGTACGACCCAGAAAATCTGAAGTGATTAAATGACAAAGAAACATACGTCTCCAAGGGGGGTTCAAATATCAGTCCGAGGCTGATTGATGCTCCTCTTAAAGATATTACCAATGTCAGTGTGTCAACACATATAATATACATATATTTGCAAAATATCTTTGTTAAAAGCAAAGAACACAAAGAAAAAAAGGGACTGCAGCATACCAAAACAAAAGATGTAACGGGTAATGTCTGCTGCTTACAAAGCTCAAAAGCCCGAACTGCAAGCCGTGGTTGCGTGCGTTTACAAATTTCCGTGTGTCTCTTCTCCACTGACCGTCTGGTGAGAACTGGTCCTTCTCGAACACAGTGACGCACAGGATGTCCTGGTAGAGGTCTTTGACGAAGAACTGGCAGTGGAAGTTCCACTTTGGGTTCAGAGTGTCGCTGATCGGTCGGGACGTGTAGCACTGAGCCCCCATCGTCAGCTCACAGTACGGATTGCTCTTACCTGTGGGGGGGAATGATATGCGTTGTTGAATTAACTAGAGATTACTGTGAAGTGAAATGGATGGGCGGGCTGTGCGTTCCCTTCTCCGGGCCTCACCGTTGGGTTTACAGGCTTTGAGCTCCAGGGCTTCAGAGACGGTGACCAGCAGTCGGCCGATGCCGCTGCTCTTTAGGGATCGTGCTGAAACAAACACACAGGTATTAGATGTTGGCCTGAAAACGCTGTCACACATTTTGCAGCCAAAATAGCTGCTGATGTGACTGACGTTTGGACAAAGCACTGAGTTCTTTCCCCAACCTTAATATGCATATTAACTAAATAAATAAAGTTAAAATCTACGTGTCTTAATGTTGACCTATATAAATATTAAATACTATCTGTCTTCTGAAATAGAGAGGCTACCATATTCATACATTTTTAAATAGTTCCTTCCACTTCTTATGTCGACATTTTCAGAACTTAATATAAGTCAAGAGACAAAAAGTTGTGTGGACTGTGTTCACCTTGGTACGCCTTCTCTCTCTTCTTCTTCTCCGTCTCTATGAATTGTTCAGATGCTGCTTTGATTTTCTGGACCCACGTTGTCCTGCAGTACAACACATGCGTCCTTTGAACAATACCACCAGGTGATCGCCGGTTATTAACTTTGTGAATGGGGACAAGTGCGCGCTTACCTCTCGGTCAAGGTCTCAGTTTTCAGCGCGTAGACGCGATCGATGTGCGAGACGTGGAAGATTGGCTCGTCGCTGGACGGGTCTGGGGGCCTTTTTACCAACACCTCGTTTAGAAACAGTGGCTGGGGGAGAAAAGGAACCTCTGAATCACATAGAACGATCAGACACCACCTGCTGGATGCGGATGTACTATTTCTAATTCCTTTCTCTTGCCCCTGGCTTACTGCTTTGTACATCTTCAGCTGAATGCTGGTCTTGAGGCTGAAGAGCTTGTCTGGTCCCGAGGAGGAGAAGGGTTTGGCGCTGTGCGTGAGGAGCAGGAAGTCATTGAAGAGGAAAGCCCACAGCTCCCTGCTGCTCTTGGTTTTGTAAAGCCGACCGCTGTGGAGCAGCTTGCGAGGCCCGAGGCAATTAGTCAGCGAGTTGAAGACCAAGTGCTGAAACACAGTAAAGTGAAGTCAGTGCTATAGGGGAAAAAAAATGCTCAACGTCTGTATCATGTCTGTATTTCTCTGCAGCAATAAAATAAGAAGAAAAAGAGTTAACCTCTATAGCGCCTTCGCACTGCACGTGGCTCTGTGTCCACTCCAGCCGGTCCGAGTTCTCCTTCTCGCGGACTCCCTCGTTGACCTGAGAGCACAGCTCCTCCGCCCGCTGCAGGGCCTCTCTCAGCGGGCCGCGGTCCCCGTGGCAGTCCGGGGTGTGCTCCAGGATCTGAAGAGGAATCACGCAATGAATGTCTGGTAGAAAGGGAAAAAGAGAATGGACGGCGAGGAGCTTTGACACACAGAGCGTGCGTTTTCCACGTACGTTCTTTATGAGCAGGGGGTAGCGCGTGATCCTCTGCATGGGCTTCAGGAGGAAGCTGGACAGCGGCATTCCTTTGCAGCGGTAGTTTGTGGCTATTTTCTGCTCAAGAACACGGGGAGAGGTATTTTATTGGCCTATTTCGTTTTCCCGTTGTCACTGTTCAATGTCTGCAAGCCCTACCCTGAGGAAGTCTTTGAAGTCGGGCTGGTGGTGGGTTTTGCTCTGCAGCAGGGCAGCGGCGTTGAGCTGGCAGGAACAGAAGCGGATGTAAGGCTGCATGTGCGCGAGCTCCGAAGCCAACAGGTCCCCGATCAGCTGAACCGGCATGTTCTCCCCTTCCGTCTTTTTACGGACACGCAACGCTCTGGAAATCAGGGATGATGATGGTGATGATGATGATGGTGAGCTAAAACAAGTGAAAGGGGGGGGGGGGGTGAGTGGTACCTACTTCAGTAATTTGGTGTTGCACATAATCAGCTCCCTCCAGTTAACAAAGATCGCTCCCGTCTCGGCTTCCGTTAGCCGGCCTGACTCGGACATGGGCTTGTAGAAAACCTAATGCAAACGGGCAGACATTTTAAAACGCTGCAGAAGCACCAGGTCCTCCATGTTTGGATGTGTGCGTACTTCCAGAACCAGCTCCAGGTCCTCCACGTAGGTCTCCTCGGTCCGGATGAGCTCGTGGATGTAGCCCTGCCTCTTCCTCTCCTGAGGGGTCATTGTGTCCAACGTCATCAGGTCAGCGCACCCTGCAGTGCACGTACATGCCGACGGGGGAAAACATGCGGGCATGCATGCACGCGTGCATGAAGACACAAGCATGTGCATCACACACAAATACTTTTCTGTCCCTCATGAAAATAATACAATGAGAAATAGACAGCAAGCGCTCTTGTAAAAAACACGCCACACAGACCATGTTGAAATCTGCATTTATTATTGGCTCTATATTTTATTTACATTTAATGCACAAATGACAAAAGTGAGGCACCTTGTAGTTGCAGGACATGAACTCGGGGGAACATTGCAGGCAACGCTAACGCTAAGGTCACCGCTACAAAGGACACATTAAGGAAAGGCGAAGCACCCGTCACGGTGCTCACCCCTAATGCTTGCATAGGTGTGAGTGAGTCAAGTAGCTCGTGCTCAAGGGGAAAGAGCGATGGAAGACTCCGTTAGCGGCCTCTGAAACTCGGCAGGAGTTGTACGTGCACGTCAGCAGCGTTGCGTCATTAGCGCTGAATCTACTCCTAATATCTGCAAGTTGTTTTTTTGCTGGTGATCAGAGTTCAGCACGAGGATGAGCGTCGACCTCAATCAATTGGAGGCATTAGTAAATGGAGGCGTGCATCAGAAGTGAATAATTAAATCACAATGAATTGGTTCTAGTAAGAGCAATGCGTCAGCAAGCAGCAATCCGATTGGTGAGTAAAGGAACGGTGAGTTTTCATGTTGGTCCATTTTAGCAAGGTTTTAGTGTTATTAGTGCAAGGATCTATCTTCAGCAAAACTACACTTTTTATCCCTTTAGTAGAGGGACAAAAGCCTCTGGCTGCCTCTGCGCCCCCTCCTGGCTGATTAGTTAGTTAAGGAAACAACAAGGGAAAGATTAGAGAGCCAGGAGAATAAGAGTGAGTAGCAAATACCATATAGAAAAGGACAGGAAGGAGAAGGTAAAGGAAGAAAAAAAAATTGAAAACAACAAATGAAGAAGAGTCCACAAAAAATGAGAAGCCAACGCAGTCTTAATACGAGTGAGGCGGAAAGCGCGGCGTCGGGCTGTTCTCGCTGACGGCTGGGCTTCCTGTTGCGATAGGGCTATTCAGGTTGGCTCAGACAGAGAGGAGGAGGAGGAGAAGGAGGGAAAAGAAGAGAAAGAGTAGAGAGGAAAGGCGGCATTACTGTCCTACAGAGAAAACAGAAAACAGGAGATGGAAGTGTCGGAGCGGGAGGGGGAGGTGAGTGAGATGAAGGAGAGACGAAGATACATTAATATAGTTTTAATATTAATGCTATAGACTCTTACATGCAAGCGCATTAATAATGTAATTTTGGAAATGTAAATGTTGTTGCTAATCGTCTCGGTTGGAACGGGATGGTAATTCCTTCCAATTCCATTTTGTCCGTGATGAACCGCGGGCCTTGTGAGCGCTGAGGTGTGTGTGAGTTCATGTTCATTAGAATTAAAATTTCATTGCGTTTTGTGTCTGCAGCCTTTGCAAGTTGCTCCTAATTAAACGTCCAGAGCGTTCACTCCTGTTAGCAGAGATCGACTGCTGTGGGGAGAACATATGAATACTAATTCAAACACACACCTCTGGATTGAGAATGGGCACATAGAAAATACGGCAAATAGAGCATTCATTGGTGTGCTGTTCACACATAAGTATGCGTGGTGCAAAGGTGCATTCTATGTTATGTTTACCTACCGTATAAACGTCCTATCGATATTAATCAAAACCAAAACTGTGACTGATTACATTGGAAAAAAGCACTTCTTGATTTAAAAACTCACTTCTGTGACCCAGTGATTTGATTCGAGAGAAAAGCTCATTTACTTCATATCCGCACGCCAAGTACGAAGCAGCAGCTAAAGACCGTTCTGAAACAGCATTTAGGGTTTATGTTTGTTTTAGCCCTTTGGGTAGAGAGCAAGACAAACGTCTTCTCTCTGCCTTCCTTCCTTCCTGTTCAGCTAACGGCCGGCTAGCTCTTGTTTTCATTTTAAACACATAATCGTTGTTCTCAAAACGGGAGTTTAATCCTTTGAATAATTTGATATTGTATCGTTTCAGGAGCACTTTCAATTTAGGAAGGGCTGAAACCCCAATCATTTTAATAAATATCACACCCAAAGTATAAGGTTATTGAGGTTTTTACTACAATGGGTTTACCAGTTATCCGTCAGTTAATCTTACCATCAGTGTCTACTTTTTCTTTCAGCAACAAGAGAGAGGTTTCTTTCTCTAGCTGATACATTTATCACTTTCCATTTCTCTTATTTTCCCCCAAAAGCACTTCCACAATAATTCCAGCAACAAGTGTGCATTATTGATTTTCTCTCAAGCAGACAGATGAATATCGTCCGTCTGTGCAAACCTTTAAAAGGCAGGTTTACTCACATTGCTGGCTGGGGTCTGATTCAGTCGTCATCGTGACATAATTGGTGGGCAGCAGGCCCGTCGCCCCATTGGCGTCTCCTTTCCACCAGTCGGGGTTGGTCTTGTCCAGGATGCTGATCAGCTGACCCTTGGAGAAGCTCAGCTCGTCTCGATTGGCAGCCGTGTAGTCGTACATTGCAATGACTTGGCACACTGAGGGTTCGGGGTCACACGTTGGCATTTATAAGGACGCGAGTTTAAGCACTGCGATGAGCGATGACAGTTGGGAGCGGATCCGGGAATGGTAATGTACCTGGCAGAGGGGAGGGGGAGGACTTGCTGCTGGAGGGGCCGAGGAGCTTGACGTGAGAGGAATGAAACCAGCCTCTCTGCCGCTTCTTGCCTCGAGCCTGTCGGGGGGGGAAATATAAAGAATATAAAACCAGCATATCATTCAACACGAGCTGTGGGAATCCTTGACCAACATTGTTAACTGAACATTGATTGTTTTGTGTCATTACAGCGTCAAACGGTTCACGGGGAGTTCAAACAGATTTAATGGCAGCATCAGCACTAAGTAGGCCGTGGGGATTGACCTCTCATTGCTGCAGATCTTCGTGGATCCGACAAGTCAGCAGATTCAGCGTTTTTTCAAATAGGGAAAGCGGATACAGTTAAAGTGGATATTAAAATATCTTCCACCATGACGGATAACTCATACGTGTGCAGTGCTCCGACGTGCAAGCGACGGCAAGTCAACCCTAAGAGCCGAATGAATTCCTGTAAAAGCGTGTTCCCACTTTTTAACGTTTTAACATTCTTGTATACATATATACATATAGACAATAACATACATGATCTATAGATACACAGACGTACACACACTGACCTGCAGTTCCCCGAGCCACCAGCCAGCGGAGTTCTTTGCCAGGACGACTATCAGTTGCCCTGGAGACAGATGCAGCTGATGAGTCGTCGGGGCGACGGCCGCCGTTGTGACTGCCTGGGCGATCTCTGTTGACAAAACAGATATGGCAGAGAGTGGATTTGGATCGGGTACATTTCAAGAGCGTACTAGTTAATCATCACAGACTTTGTTTCCAGTGTGTCTGTCTCACCAGGCTTTTTGATCGGCGCTCCAGGTTTTGACACCTAAATGAATAAAGTCACAGTACATTAAGGAGGGAAGTAACAAATGAGTAAATTGCATTAAAAATTTAAGAAAATGCACAGTAACAGATGGTTCAACATAGATTAATGGATTAATTGCTTTATCAAGAAACAACATTCTTTTAAGAAGTTTAAAGCAGAGTTATCTTTGAAGTTTTACATCAAATATAATATATATTTCTTACGATTTGTACCTCTGGTTCAACAGGTCGGACATAGTTAGAGGGGAAAACTCCAGTCTGATCCCCGATGCACCCTCGCCACCATTCTCCTTCTCTCTCTGTCACCATGACAACATCTCCCTCAACAAACGTCAGGTCCCCCACCTCCGGGCTCTCATATGTGTACAGGGCCACGTACTCTGGTTTGGATCAAATACGTAAGTGCGTAAGTGCGAGCAACATGTCTTGACAGTTTTAGTTTTTTTCCTCAAACAGACCGTTGTTACCTTCCAGCTGAACCGTGTCAGATGTGTCAAATCCATCCACACTAGAATGGGAACAACACACAGTCAGTTGAGTGTGAGCGGACAGCAGTTCAGAGAGGCGTGTGCACTCTTGGGTGTCCTCATACTCAGTATTGCCTCCCGTCTCCAAAGCGACGTAGCTTTTGGGGAACCATCCCTGAGTCCCGTTGAGCTGCCCCAACCACCAGTCGCCCCTCTGCTGCAGCACGCCGATGACGTCGCCCAGGGAGAAGCTCAGCATTGCAGTGATGACGTCACCCGTGCCGGAGCCGAGGTTGAGGGTTTTTTCGGAGGTGGCCGACCACGAGGAGACGGCTCGAGCCAACAGAGGGACAGATGTCTGAGGAGTGGGATGAGAGGGGCGAATTCAAATCCCAAAGTGCAGCTTCCGTTGTGTGTTTGTTTCATATTGCATATCGCTGAAACTGGATGCTACTTCGATACAGCTCTGCAGCGGATGATGGAACCTTCATTACAAAACTTGACACTTGACACAAAGACGTGACTTGGACTTGCCAAAAATTACCTCTGAGCAGCTTTGCAACCAACAGCGATGTTGTAAGAAGATATGAGAACGTTCACCACAACTAGTGAATTTTCAGGCTGTATACCAGCAAGCATGCACGTCCGCCGGGTCTGTTTGTGTGTAATAACGTTAGCAAACAAAACGGTGGCAATGGTTTTATTCGAAAAAAACATTGCTAAAAGAAAATGTATTGGGAGACGGAGATCTGTGTGACCCACAGAAAGGCAAACAGAGAGGAACTCTCATAGGGAAGGGCTATGAATATACAGCCATCCTGCTGAAGATGTATGTGTGTGTGTTGGTGACAGCAGCAGCATGTGTACAGAGCCAGACCCAGATAGGCGCTTGCCAAATCTTGTTTATAGCTCAGACATACTAGACGTCACTAAACCAACACGGCAGCCACCTGTAAACATTACCGCTGCACAGAATCACTTTCAAATGGTGATATGGCAACATGTTTGTGGACGGTTGGTCTTTTAAACATGCAACACAAACAGAGAAACAATGAAATTCGTTCTTGTCTTCATGTCTGGTCACCTGACTCTACTTTTACCTCTGTTTCCGTTGCCACCGATTCCTGACACATGTCTGTAAATACGTAACAGCTGGAGATGATGTTGATGAGAACAGTGAAGATTCTAATCAGTGAGGAAAGCTGAGAGCTGCGGTGAACAACAACGACTGTTTGTCATTTAAGGGACTTCTTTTGTATTATCCGTTATTTGATCCACTGTTAATATAAAAATAATAATTATAGCAGCCTCAATTCCTATGAAGCGGTAGCACAGGGAGATCTCAAATATTCAACATAAACAGTTCAAGACAAGTGCTTTTGGGAAGACATGAGAAGTCTTTGTCCTGGTCATGCCGGACTATTCAGAAGTGATGACCCCCCCCCCCCCCCCCTCCCCCCCGCCGTCGCTCCTGCATAAACATGGCTACTCTCTCCAGAAATAGAACGCTACAAAACAGGGTTTCACTTTGCATCTGGAGTAGGTCACCAAAAAGTGTCCCCTGTCCACTGGGACACTGTCCAGTATGCCTGCAGTCAAAAGTCAAGCCGAACGGAGCTTTTACCTGTGAAGCATCGGGTTTCGCAGGTGAAGGGATGTCACACGCTACCTTCTTGTCTGGGATTCTGCGTGTAAACAGGAGGAACAAACCATTGTTGACTGTGACGTAGGGGAGGGCTGACGGATCACACGGACAACGTCCGGCGGGTTTTCGGGCGGTTACCTCGAGTTCAGCGGTGGCGGCGGCGGACGGGACAGCCTCCCGGGTGAAGGAGGGGCAGCTGTCTCGGCGGTAGAGCGGGTCGGACATTTCTCCGCGTAACTCTGGGGGAACCAGCCCCGGTTTCCACGGTAACTCCCGCAAAACCAGCCGGGCTCACCGACGGCCTGCTCATCCACCTGCGGCATGAAAAAAGAAAAAGACTTAATCCCAGGCAATATTTACAAGTAAATATGTTGTTTCACAGCAATCGTATGTTCAGGGACCATAACTACGACGGACTTTCACTAACCCACGTTCATCAGATGTTGTGTTAGAAACTAACAAATATTACAGTGAATGTCTGTTAGCTACTACTGCCAACAATTCTACTATATTAATATCAACAAAATTGATATTCCCCTTTACACTGGAATATAAATTATTTGAGTGAAAAGAAAAGACTGAAAACTACTTATATACCCTCTTGTTTGAAAAAACAGATGTTGAGAAACTGCAACATTTGCAGGTAACAATTCGCAATACGGGGAACGGAGTACGGGGATAATGTTGTGTGCTGGGGCTTCTGGCGGTTCCCGGCCCTCATGGTTGAATGTGTGAATATTTGATTCAAACATCTGGAGTGTGTCTCTCACCTCTATGAGGCCTCCTGCGTCGACACTCAACTCGTCTGCGTTCCGGGCAACAAACGAGTAGAGAGCGCGGTACGCCGTCAGCTCGCTGGGTCGCTGAGCCTCCAACGCCGGCTGTCCTCCCCTTTCCTGCTCTTCTTTCCTCCTCCTCTCCTCCTCGTCTTCCTCCTCTTTCCGTTTCCTTTCCTGCTCCTCCTCCTCCCTCTTCCTTTTCTCCTTCCCCTCCTCCTCTCTCCGTCTTCTCTCCTCTTCCTGGGCTTTCTCCTGTGCTGCTTGGAGGCAAGCCTGTGCCTGCCTCTCCTCCTCCTCCCTCTGTATGGCCCTCTGCTCCTCCAGGAGCCTCTTCTGCCGCGCCTCCTCTTCCTCCTTCTCCTGCTGTCTTCTCTCTTGCTCTAGCTTCGCCTGTCTGTGGAAAGTAAACTTTTAAAGCCCGACAGAGATATAGCCGATTCAAGTAAAGCGCAGTATGAGTAATTTGCTGTCGCTCTCACCGGGCTGCCTCTTCTTCCTCCCTCCTCTTCCTCTCCAACTCCTCCTCCCTCCTCTTCCTCTGCAGCTCCTCCTCCCTGCGCCTCTGCAGCTCTCTCTGTTTCTCCTCTTTGACTCTGTGCAGGTCGTCCAGGACAGCCTGCTGCCTCACCTGCTTCTCCCTCAGCTCCTGATGCAGAAGGTGCAGTACAATGTGTAACAGCAGCGATCCACAAAACATCTTATGATCCGACACAAAACACAAGCGGGCGAAAGCTTTTCTTCGGCTCCAACCACAAACAAGCCATGGTAGTGGATGCACAGGACTGTAAATTGCATTTGTGCCACATTAGAGATCTATAGAGGAATCTCTATGTACAGTAAGCAGGGGTTTAAACTGATAAATACATATTTGGTGCAATATTACAAATAAAAATGACGTCCAAACATGCAAAACGGATCCTAAGGGGCCACAAACTAGCAGCCATTCACAGACACATGCGGATGTGTGTGCGTGTGTACAAATGGAGTTCATTTTCTTCTCCTCGTGCGGGTTAAGCGTTTCGTGTTTTTAACCTTCGGGCTGCATCCTGTTTACACAAAAAAACACAGGCAAGAACAAATCCCACAACTAGAAAGGAAGACATTTCATAACGAGACCAAAATACAAAAACAACCCCAAGCATGAGCGAACAGATCGAACCATCACGGGATGAAAAGGAGAGGAAGATTGAGGCAAGAGGTGGGATGGTAAAAAAAACAGCTAACAAAGAGGAGGGAGGGGGGGGGGGGGGTTACGCAGTGGGACGGAGAGAGAGGAAGAAGGATAACCTTGATGAGAAGGAAGAGCTGGCTGAGGCAGGCCAGCAGAGACAGAAGGCCTCGCAGGACACAGTCATCCATATCCCCGAGCTATAGAGGAAACACACCGTGTGAGGAGGGAGGGGGGGAGATAATCAAGATGAGAGGAGGAAAACAAAGGTGAGTTGGAAGACGGATAAAAGAAGAAATGGAAAACAGAAAAAAAAGCATCAGGAAGAGACACAATAAAAAGGAAAGACCATTGTCGAGGAGGAATAATCCCAGGTAGAGGTAAGCACAGGGGGGGAAGAGGAAAGAAGGAAAGGTGTTAAAAAGGTTTTAAAGCAGTTATGAAAACAATAGAAGAGACAAAAAAAATGTTATGCTGCAACTGGTATTAGAATGACGATACGTTGGGTATTGAATTTTGAGTATGTATGTATGATAACGTTAGGAAACACAACCTGCTGAACGAGCTCTCACAGCAGCGTTTTCTATGTGCTATAAATCATTTCTAAAATAAAAATAGGTTTTCTTCATTGTAACAATGGTGTAATCTATTTAGAGGAGTTAAATTGCTTCATTTGGACTATTATGACTGTACCAAACTTTTGTTTTTTTTATAAAAAAGTTCAAACCTCAATGGCCATTTCCATTTTCTCTTTTTATAGGAAGCATTGAGCGGCCTATTTGCTTTCTTGCAGAGCGTTAAATGAAAATAGTATCACTTTTGAGTCCATGCATTCATTTTGGAATGAGCCAGTTGATTCGATTGGCTTAGCGTAAAGACTGGAAACAGGGAATACAGCCAGTCCGGCTTTCACCAAAAGTAAAAAAATCTGTGGCTTGCACTTCCGCTGTAGTGCAAAGAGTCGGACTCTCGCCTCCGTCTCCTGAAGACGTCTGTGGCAAATCACTGACCTTCAGCTCCTTGTTGTACTGCTCCATCTGGGCCAGTTTGTCGGTGGTCTCCCTCTCCAGAGTGTCGAGCTGACCCTTCAGCCTGCGGCAATTCCCACCTTTCTCCGTCGCACTCCCGCTCAGAGAGGTCAGGGTCACCGCTGAAAAAGGGGAGGGGGAAAGGTCAAAAGGTCAGCAGGCGAAGAGCCGAGACCTCAGTGACCGGAGTGATGTCCGTTTGTCACCCACGGGAGATTTTGTTGAGGTTGAGGTTTCGCAGCTTTTCTGTCAGCCGATGTTGTTCCGGGACCAGCAGGGAGAGCTTCTTCTGCCAGTCCTGCAGGCGAATCCAAGCGGACAATGAAGGAAGCACATCCATGGGAATGATTGAATAAATGTCTGACAGAAAGGGAAGCATTTATTTGACCTCCAACTGAAGCTGCAGCGTGTTGATCTCGATGTTGCGCGAGTCCCTCTTCTGATTGACGTGGTCCACCTCGGCCTTCAGGATCCGCCTCTTGCTCTGAGCGTCCCGGAGACGGCCTGAGATCTGCTTGTGCTTGTTGCCCTGCAAGGCGAGGCAAGAGATTTCAGTGTGTGCCCCCCACACCCCGCCCCACGCGTTGCTACTAGTGCTCCTTTCTGAATATCTCACCACGTCCTCCAGCTCCAGCTCTAGACTCTTCTTTTTGGCCCGGAGTCGGGAGATCTCCTCCTGCTCCCCCTCTCTCCTTCCGCCCAGCTCCTGTCTCATCCCACGCTCCCACTCCTCCCTCTGCTGGCGCTCCATCTCCAGCTTCGCCGCCTGAAAGCACGGAGGGACACGGTCATCCCCGGGACGTGGCGGCCCGGATGTTCCCGGCACCTCCCGGGCGGGGCTATTTCCTTCAGCTCACCTCCCTCCTCTCCAGCTCTCTCAACCTCGCCTCCTCCCTCTGTCTCTCCATTTCCCTCTGCCTCTCCACCTCCAGCCTCCTCCGGTTTTCCTGCTCCCTCGCCTCCCGCTCCCTCCTTTCATGGGCCTCCCTCTCCTCCCTGTCTCTCCTCTCCCTCTCCTTTCTCCGCTCCTCCTCCAGAGCCAGTCGACGTTTCTCCAGCTCGGCGCTGCCTCGCGCAAAGTTCTCCTTCAGCTTGTCCTCGAAAGACACTAAGGAGAGGAAAAGACAGACGGAGAGGTGTGACACAGAGACTGAAGACTCACATTACAGCATAAGACACCTGTGCGCAGGACATGACGTACCGCTGCTCTTGGTCTTTAGGACAGGTTCTATCTCTGGCGCGTCTATTAAACAGGGAGGGATGTAGGGCCCCGTTCCATTGACAAGCTCACCGGGCTTAATTCCTCCTCTGAGCAAAAACGGGAAAGAAGATGTTAATGAATATGTAACGATAAATGCATGAATGAATCCATTGCCTGTGTCGATCTGTGTGTGTGTGTGTGTGTTACCTGAGGGAAGGAGGCACCAGGTCCTGGGGCAGTGTCAGGGGTAGAGGTCGGCCAGTTTTAGCCATGTCCACAAGGTGCATGGCCAGAATGAACTCATCGGCCCGCAGTTGACCGTCCTTGTCCACGTCTGCCAAGTTCCTATGCGCACACAAGGTAGTAACTCTTAATGTACAGCAACAAAGATTTTAAAGCAGCGTGATGGACGAGTTACCACCTGCTAACCTGTAATAACGCTCATCCAGTTACTCAGACACAGAGGTAAATCATTTGCAGAAATGTGACGGATAAGTCCCTTTCCTGACACGCATTCAGGTTTGGGGAAAATACTTTTTAGATTCTTTAGATGCTACATTGTTCTGGATGTTCAACGCTAACTGGATTTTCTTTTAGTTTAGTTTATGGTCGACAGCTGATGAGAGCATTGAGAGGGAACCACATCAATAAAACACAAGAAATAGCTCCCATATTTCACTGACAACTTTACAGCTGTTTATGGCATGTATATCTGTACGTCAGCTGTGTGATATGGGCTAATTATTTTTGTTAAATAATAAACTAAGTGGCATTTAATCATTTTCTTGGACATGGTTTGTGGCGTTAATCGGAACAAACAAGTTTCATCCCATTTGCAAGTATGAAGTCACACAAACGGTCAGTACCATCCAATCAGTAACTGCTGAGCCAAAACATGAATGAGTTGGGCCGAGTCTGGTTACTTAGTAACAGTGGCCCCCTCCCGTGAGACGGCCTTGTGCCTCTAATGTGCGGGACTCTAAACAAGACCACTTCCTTAACAGAACATGTGATTTCAAAACGCCCTTCCTGCTCTCTCTCTATTATCTGAGAGATTCATCTCAGCTCGCCTTCTGATCCATGTCCCCTTCCTGCAACAACTCTGCTTCTTCGTAAGCACAGGACTAACGGGCTGCTGGTGTGCGACTCAGACTTCGAACAGCAGCCTTTCCCTTAAAATCCCTGCGCAATAAATGGTGCATTTGAGAAAGCGCCACATCTCCCATAGATCCAATTCAGAAATGAAGTAACATTAAGTACCAAATGAAGTGAAGCCGCAAAACTACCAGTGCAGGTTGTATTTAATGGTCATATCCATCTACATGTTCTGCCTGTCTAGCGATCAAAAGATACTATTATGAACTTAATGTGGCTACCTGGCCACACACACACACACACACACACACACACACACAACGTACACTCACCATATGGTGGCGAGCTGAGTCTGGGTCAGGTTGGATGCGATCAGCGCATTCCTAACCTGAGGTCCTGCAAAGTAAAAGTGAGATCAGTGAGATGGGGCGACTGTGGGTGAGTGGGGAGCACGGTCGTCCTCCCATCAGAGGGTTGTCGGTTGTATCACAGGCTCCTTGGGCAAGACACTTAACCCCACATTGCTCCTGCAGCTGCGACTACAGTGTGTGGATGTTAGTTACTGATGTGCAGGTGTCACTGTGTCTGGTTCTCCTGTCATCGGTGTATGAATGGCTGTGAATGATGTCATGTAGTGTTAAAGCGCTTTGAGTGGTCAGAAGGTTTCGTGAGTGTGTGCTTGCGTTAAGTGAAGCTGACGCGGGGCTCTGTCGAACTTCACCTCGTGGGGCCGCCAAGCGGCCCTCGGGACCTCCTGTGTATTTTGGCTGCGGTGCGTTTGCGTTTGCGCCGACCTACCAGACAAGTAGCCACTCATGAGCTTGTCCAGCGTGTTGAACTGCTGACGGTACTTGAGTCTCGAGCCCTGCGGAACGGCCCAATCGCTCGCACCCGTTTTCGGAGAGTTACCAGCCAGAGACGTGGTGGAGGAAGAGTTTGAACTGAGGCGAGAGAAAAAAAGGAATTGTGAAATGAGACAATAATGTTACCCGGTCAGCATCCCTTTCCCCCTCGTATTCAAGCCTGGACTTAAACCCACTAATTGCTCCGAGACTCCCTGGTGTTTTCTCTCAGCTTTTAATTAGCTACAGAGGAAGCAACCGCACCGCAGTGACTCTGGACAGAAGACGGCGCCGTGCTCTCGGGCTGCGCTAATCAGCCCTCCTGGTTCTACCGTGAAGAAACGCCTCTGCAACAGTAGCAAAATGGATCGGCCGGGTCGGTGGTGTTCATTCGAGAAAAGTCTACTTTTTTCATTCATTGAAGCTGGGTGGGAACATGCGCCACCCGTCTCAAATAGGAGAGGGTTCAGGGAGACAATGGGAGCTCCCTTTGCCTCCGGGATTTTCCTTTTTTTCTGGCTTTGTATGTGTGTGCGTGACCAAGAGGGTAAAAGTCTCGGGGGGGGCGATGCTTTTGCACACTGTTGCATACCACAGTCTGCTGTTGTTTGACTTCTAGCCCACTTGCATTCAGGATGCCTCTCCTTTCCCTCACTCAGCTGTATTGTTGCTATGTTGCTGTAAGACCCTTCGCCCGTCTGGGACAACAAAAAAAAGTTGGAAGGTTGAAAGTGATGTGGATCAACCTGTTCTTGTTATTTGACCGTTTTCCACACTTGCCTCCCCGACGACATCCGAGATTGGGACAAACAATTGTTCACTTAAACAAAACGTTCTGAATGAAGTCGGACACTATCCTACTCATTTTCCCAAACCACACCAGGCGAAGGATCTACGATATTCAATATGCCATTGTCTTTTTTGAAAGGAATCTGTCCGCTGAATTAAAAAAAAAACTCTCAGACTGGTTTATTCTTGGTTTACACCTCCTTAACTTCCCACTACTGTACCTATTCCAGGCAGGGATAAAGTGCTTTGTGCAAAAACACAAACGACAACTGCCATGGATGCAGCATTGCAAAGCCCTCCAGGTGCCTTCTCACATTTCGGCAGGTGTAATGATCATGCTCATCTTACTTTTTGTTTGCATCAGCTTTTGGGACTTTGATCACATCTGCAAGTATGAAGTCACACAAACGGTCAAGGCCGTCAAATCAGTAACTTCTGAGACGCGGTCTGGTTACTTATTAACAGTGGCCCCCTCCCGTGAGACGGCCTTGTGCCTCTAATGTGCAGGACTCTAAACAAGACCACTTCCTTAACAGAACATGTGATTTCAAAACGCCCTTCCTGCTCTCTTTCTATTATCTGAGAGATTCATCTCAGCCCGCCTTCTGATCCTTGTCCCCTTCCTGCAACAACTCTGCTTCTTGGTGAGCACAGGACGAACGGGCTGCTGGTGTGCGACTCAGACTCCGAACAGCAGCCTTTCCCTTAAAATCCCTGCGCAATAAATGGTGCATTTGAGAAATAGTCACATCTTCCATAAATTGATGTTTCAGGAGGAACTGTATGTGCCGACAGAGGAAATTCAAAGTGAGCAGCATTCTCTTAAATGCTCTTTCGGGGGAGCTGAGAGCGGGATATTATGCAGCATGCATCCATTTCCACGCTCACCTGCTGGATCCAAGGTCCAGGAGAGAGTTGGCGTTCGACATGCCGGTGGATGGAGAGAACGCCATGGGAGAAGAAAATCCAGAGAGAGGGAGCGCTGCAAAAAGGGGGGGGGGTTAGAGGCAGTTTGTTCACACTCAAATTTCATTCTGACAAATCAACATAACAATCTGCCACGTGCTTTTTTTTTTTTTACAGGCGATCATTCTATGCGGACATGCTATGCGGAGGGTGCTGCTGCCCTTGAACGTGTGAACGTCTAATCTTATCTCCTCGTACTTTACAGTCGCAGCACAGAGAACCCCGACAGCAAGGTTATTGACATAGGGTTAATAAACGAAGCTGATTTCTCTTCCCCGCAGAGGGTTCAGTCAGTTGCCACTGATGTATTTCCCCTTTTCAGAAGGATTGAGATCCAGCAGCAGGTAGGAGAGGAAAGTCACGCTAATTAGGCTGCACATTTCACAGCCCACAGAATCCTGAACAGGGTGAGGATGAAGGAGGGACGGAGGAGGTGTGAGAGGAAGGTTGCACAGTCAGATAAAAGATGAATCCCAACCACAAAAAAAATCTATCAATATTTTACTGCTGTGACTCCCAGGTAAGATATACAGCAGGTTATGTTCATATCCTTCTATATTTACGTTATTAGCAAGGTAATGTCATGGTATCAATAGCACACGCCTGTTATCTGAGCTGTTCTGTGTGGGTTTTTTCTCCCTCTGGTCTCATTTTGTGTCGTGTGCCAGTGAAATGTCTCGGCCACCCTGGAAAACAGTCCAACGGCATCGGTGAACATTCACTTTTTATAATCCCAGGTGAAATTGGAATAAATAGGTGCTAATCCACGGTCCTCGATTTCCAGCCGCATTTGTCCCGTGAGCGAACCGGAAACGGTCCCCCCCCGCAGAACCAACCTGAGCTGTTGGGAAGGAGAGGCGGGGTACGGAGGTTAACGTTGCCGTTTGGGAGGCCAGAGTTTCCCAGGCAGTTGATGAGGGGCAGGGTCATTGGCGTTGGCACAAAGGTTTGCACGGCGTGCATGGAGGGGTTAGCCGGGAAAGGTGTTAGGATGGGCATGGCTGACATACACGGCATGGATGACAGACCAATTGACAGGTTTGGCATAGAACCCATCCCTGTGAGGAGGAAACACACGCATGTGAACAGGAACTGCATCCAGAAGGCTGGTTTCAGAAGAGATACCAACTATTGCGGAATTTGAAAATGGGAAACCAGGACTTAATTGAGTGAAAATCCCCTCACGAGACGAGCTGCATCCCATTTTGAAATACAACGCCAATTTGAGTTTTATATGACAGAGTTACGTATAAGAGATTGATTTGTAATGGAAACGGCTCTGATATCAGGGTTTTGAGATTGGATGTAAATCCCTTACCAAATCGTGCTGATAAAGGGACGTTTGGAGCAGAAATGGCGACGGGAAGTTGCTTCATGGGGATTGGCAAGACGGACGGTAAGTTCCGCCCCTGAAGTTTGAGTTTAACGAGCTTCATGGCGATGGAAAACTCCTGTCTGTCCATCTTCCCGTCGCTGTCCATGTCAGCTATGTTCCTGAAGGAGGAGGAGAAACAGATGATGGGTGCTTTCCAGTTATTCTTCCTTCTGAGACAGCATCAGGGGGAAAAGGGTTACACAAGTTTCTTCACACTTGCACACTCAGTTTCCCGGGTGGGGCGGGCTGCGAAGGGAGTGAGTGCTCAACGGGGAAAATAAAGCAGGCCAACGCGGCTAAACTGACACAAAGGTCGGCCCCACTGACCTCCTCGGGGTCTGATGGTGCTTACCAGATCTCAGCCAGGACAGAAGCGGGCAGGCCGGACCTGAGGAAGAATTTCCTGGCTTGTTCTCCTGAAAACCGACAAAACCCACGCAGAGTTAAGAGAGACATTCGACATTGCAGCTCAACAGCTGATGACCTCTGTGTGCGGCGACGGCCTACCGGAGACGTAGCCGAGGACGGGGGCGAGCGCGTCGAACTGTTTGTCGTATTTCTCCCTCTCCTCCGGGGTGACGGCCCACACGCTGGCTCCGCCTGCACGGACAAACGAATGAAATCGCACCCGAAAAACAACATCTGTAATACGCAACACGGAGCACACGAAAAAAAAGTAATACAAGCGCTGCAAAAACTCGGGACAGGGATGCAAACCAGCAAAGTGTGAACTGTTTAAAACAACACCACACATCATCATTTCAATAGACAGCAACGCTCCGGAACGTCAACAGCTGTCACCGCCGTGTGTGTAAAATAACTGAAATACAAAAAAGGTCCTGCTCTGATAGAGACACTCCTTTGGAAGACAAATGCTATTTTAAACCATCGCGCGTAGGCTGCGTTCAGCTCGTCAACACGCGTTGTCCCCAAAACTGAAATCAGTTTACAGTCTCTTTTTTATACTTCATGATATAATCTTCGTCATATAAAAAGACATAATGCATAATTTCCATCCCAAATGAGATCTCCTCCTCAGATGAAAACTCCCGACAATGATTAATGTGTAAAAACGTCCACTCGGCTCTTTTCCACTCCGCTCCACTCATGCATTTCTCAAGGTAAGTTCAAGGTTGTCCATGAATTAAACATCAAGTGGAATGTAATGTGTGAGGTCTGTGAAACTTAATTCTTACTCAATTTCCAAAGACGTCGTTAATAGAGGGGGACAAGAGATTATCATAGGAGCTGATAATAAATGAATCATCAGCGAATCAAATCACAACACGATTAGGTTATACTCAAAGCCTTTTACCTCGGTTCCTCCATAACTTGAGGACCGCTCTAATGATCGGGGGGACAGTAAGGACAATGTGCATGGATGGATCTCTCCATCTGGCGGTGACGGAAGGACAAAGACGCAGATGAGCAGACGATGACAGATAATGAACGTAGATGTGGAAGTAGAGTGAAGCACAGCCGAGCGATAGTTAATCGACCGAAACCTACATTCTGATGGTGGAAACAGATGGTTTCATCTAAGAAATGCTTCCGTTGTGAAGTGGACGGATGTAATGCTACAGACTACTTTAAAAACAACTGGGTGGAAAAATAAAAGAACAAACGTTGTCCATCAGCTCTATCGAGCTCAGTTCCTGAACAAGCTCAATAGAGCTGATGGACGTTATTATGTGAAAACTATCGTGTTGGAAAGGATTACTTTGATATTGACAAAACCAGGAAAAATATTCCATTAATAATCGAAATGAAAAGAATCATTGACTTAAAGCTCACCTTAGTATGACAATGATTAATTTACTAAAAGTAAAAGTCTAAATAACTCCATCAAATACGTCAATCTTATTTAGCACGATCTATGAATAACTATTCATGTCTCACGATAATGCCATAGTCCCTCTCAATGAGCTCTGTCTGCAACAGTTCGCCTGGCATCAAGATGAAGCCCCTCTGATTAACGGATTCTTCTTCACCACCAAAAGCATCTCAGACAAGTTCCCTCGACAGCATCACCAGAGGAGGTAAGCTGGTAGATGCAAACCCCTCCGAGAGCAGGCATGAAGAAACCATAGCTGTAATGTTGACGCTGTAATATCGTCCAAAACTCCAAAACTAGTACAAAACCTATGATGTTATGAGCGTATGAGAGTAGAGTATCAAGGGTGTAATGTGGTCACCGGCTTCAGGAAATGCCACCCTGCCCCATGACGGAACTTCCTCCCCTTCGCTAACCCAAACACACAACTGGCGTCTGTTGAGACAGCCCGCACACACACACATCTCTGAGGAATTACACAAAGTTACAGCGCAGCAGTCGCTTCTCAGCAGCCGGCAGAGGAAATGTGAAACTAGAGTTAAAAGAAAGGGATGAAGATTCCATCGTTATATTGATAAAAACACTCCAGACTGACTGCCTGGTCCTGGCCAGCTCTTCTAACACACCACTGTAACACCTGCTGAGGTGTCGCTTTAACACTCTGCTGTGCCCGACCTACATTTGTCACCCTCAGCAAAACTGCATCTGCGAAAAAAGGCGAAAGTAATTAATATCTCGCGGAGATGTGAGTATTCTCCGTTCTGTCTCTTTGGCTTTGACAGACCTCGTTTAGAGGCCATTGTAAGAGAGAGGGAGGATATTCAGCACAGGGCCACTGGGAGGGCCAGCGCGGCCGCATCCACAGGCCCGCCAGCCTGAAGATAAGTGGGGCACCGCAAAGCTCCTTACAGAAGCCCTCCGAAGGGGTCTTCACAGCACAAGTCCATTCAATGGGCGACCGGATAAAACGGTGCCAAATTCGGATATATTTTGGCGTACGAGAGCTGGTCAGAATGCGTCTTTTGGCTGGTAAGTCTGTTTTAAGTCGGCCACCTTGTGCTGCGATACTATAAGGGGAGCAGCTTCCCGCACAGGAACCCAGAAGACAAACGCTCAGCACGCGAGCCGGGGCGGCAAAGATTGGGACAACATAAACACACGGCTCGTGTGCAGAAAACAAGGAACAAAAAGAACGGCAGTACCAAAATAGATGGTAGACGACGTCTGTGCCGAATGTAAACCACGGACCCTCCCCCTGCCTTGTCCACCTGTTTTGGAAATCAACTAATCGGAACGGCCCCTTTTCCACCGGGTTAGGAGTGTGCCATAAAGCGACGAGCTCAGCTTTCCTCATCACGCGCTGGGCCTGTGAGTCGGAACTCCTCTCTCCTGGTGTTCATAGACTGGATGGGGATCGGGGGTGAGTGTGGGGGGGGGCGGGGGGGGGAGTTTGGCACGTTGGTAAAATGCAGAATTAGCCGTGTGGACAAGACGCATCCGACACACACAAACTTCCTCGGAGGGCTTTTCCATGAAGGCTCTAAGGAGCAGCAACTGCTGTTCTATGATCAAAGGCTGTGAAACAAAAGGATTAACACACACACACACACACACACACACGCACACAGCAATTGCTCAATTTGAGGCATTCCGACTACAGACCAAGGACAAAAGCGATGCGGAACATTCAAGTGAGTGAGCACAACAGAAACAGAGGCAGTTACCATACAAGAAAATAGCTCAGGATACAATTAATAAAAAAAAAAAACTAATTTTCCTTCAAGCCCTTCAGGTTTATACGGCACATAATTGGCTGTAATTTATTGCGCAATCATCACGTCATGGGGATCGAAGACGGGTTGAGTTGAAGGCTGTTCACTCACTCAATCACCCGATCGATATATATATCATGACATAATATCAGAAGAGATATAACGTCCCGAGAGACGGGTACAAACGCGTCTTCCAGCCTCAACGGGGAGATAACCGGGGAGAAAGATTAAAGTTTAAAGAAGGGGCGCGACACAGCTGCTGTTGCTGCTGCTTACCGGTCTCTCCGCTTCTCTTCTCTTTTAAAGATCAGAAAAGTCTGTTAAATTCTCGTCCCGGCCTCTCACCACAAAGTGCACGTCTGCAGACACGGAAAACATCACGCGGGAGACAAAGTGTTCTTACCATTCATGGCTGCAGGTGGAGAGCACGGGCAGAGAGGGGAGTCCTCCGCTCAGCTGGCTCTAGCTCTCAGACATCTGCAGAGAAAAAGAGAGAGGGAGAAAGATGTGAGCGTGTGCGTGTGTGTGTGTGTGTGTGTGTGTGTGTGTGTGTGTAGCAGGCGCATATCTGAGGAACGCAAGTGAGAAAGACAATAAAAACTGTATGAATGCGGGCACCAGTGAGGGGGGCTGAGGGGGGGGATTTCATTCCCCCGGTTAAAAATACACGGGAGGCACAGAACGGGAGAGGGATGACAGAGCGAGGAGGGAGGGAGGGGAGGGGAGGAAATAAAGAGACAGGAGGGGGACAAAATGACAGAGGGAGAAGAGGGAGAGGCAGGATGAGGAGAAAAGAAGGAAGGCGATGCTACAGGGGGGGGGAAGAAAGAGGAGGACCGAGGATGGAGGAGAGTGATGGTGGTTGCAGAAAGGACGGAGCAACTGTCACCGCCTCCCCTCCCATCACAGATGGTGGCTTTTTGTCGTCATTCTTAATATATGAAATTGCTGCTTAATTACTGTTTGGCCCTTATTGTTAATATTTATTGGAATATAAAGGAAAAAATGTCTTTTTTTCGAAAGAATAATTTGTTAATTTAATTTATAATAATTTGTAATAATAATTTGTAGAAAATGAGATCGAAGCAGGAACCTACATTTTTGTCAACGGGGAATAACACCTGAATTACTGCGTGTATAATTTCTTTAATTAGAAATATTACTGTTAGTAATAATTTAGTAGCATTAACATTTACGTTATTAGGTATTTATGTGTTTCCCTTGTTGGGAAAACAAATATTTGTTAATTACACATACTTACACTTATAATAGGAGTCTCTATATAGGTGTCTCTCTACAAGGGCATTTCTGATTAAGTTGAATGATAAAATACGAGTGTATCTGCACAGAAATAAAGAGCTATGGATGTATTAGGTGCAGTTTGCCTCCACTGTTGTCAAAGGGAAGGGAGCCCGGCTCACCAGATATCATCTAGAGATATTATCTGGGTCCCAGCAGGTGGAGGGGACAAATGAGTCCGTGCAGGTAACATTCTTAAATTGGAAAATGAGCGCCGTGTGTGTATCATGTTTTCCAGGGTAAGCCCTGCAATATAATAACCCTCCGCAGCTGATTTTCCATGTCTAGACTATTCATCCTTTTCCTTTGCCACGATGTTGTTGCTGAAAACCTTTCAGCCTAATATTACTCCGGCAATAACACGCCGCATACTCTTGATCATTTTGGTCGTCGCCTTCAAATTGAAATTCACAGGAGGAAAGTTTGCCTTGTCTTTCACCCTAAAGCTGGGTCTCTCCTTCCATTATTCAAGCACCTCCTCCTTCAACCCCTCTCTTCTCATTCTGTCAGTGGCTCCACTCAGAGCTAACCCTCTGTTTCCTCTCGCTTCATCCATCCGTCTACAAGCGTCCAGATAGGGAGCAAGCACCAAATACCCCCCCGCCGGGCCCTCCGAGCCCCCACACACTCCCCTGCTCCTGAATCGTGACACGAAATGACTCCCACCAAATTTCTTTCATTCCTTCCCTCTCCTTCTGCTCTCGTTACACTATTGCTATTGCTCTTTTTGCGTGTGAATTCCTGGAGGGGGGGGGGCAATGTTGTCGTAGTATAAATCATTTCCCCCGCACATGCCGACGCTGCCAATTACTTAAGAGCAATGAACGGTGGCAAATGCCTCCGCCTACACGTGAATATGTGCGCTAAGAGTGCACGCACAGGCGAACAACACTGGCGTTCCAAGTCACAAAAAACATAAAATCCACCCCGGTTAGTGCAAACAAAAATATTAAATATTACAAAGGAAGTAGTTTATCATAATAAACTGAACTATTTAGCATTACTAGCTAGTTTAAAACTAGCGAGTAGCACCAGGTGACATCATTATGAAGTTAATCTTTCTTAAATGTAGAAATGTCACCCGATCACATTCTCGGTCATCGGGTGTGAAGTCAGATTTGTCCACTATATTCTCTATTTTATCAAACTAGCCAACATGCTAACGCGGCTGAAATGTGCAGTTTTTATTGGAAAGGCGTGTTGATATATGCCGTGTTCTCTTTGGTAAATACATCAATCTTCTCGGTTAGATGGGATAGAAAATAATCCCTCGTTTCGTAGACTCTATGAACCTATTCGGCAAAATCCTTCACAATCCTTTAACCTGGGCCTGGCAAAAGATGAAAAGAAGAATTGACTGATTAATCGCAAACGTTCACCATTATTGGTGATTAATGAATGTTGTTACAAGTAATTAGTAATTACTTTAGAAAGCGTGTATTTTAGACAGTGTTACTTCATTGTTAATGTTATTTTAAACACAAAACTGCACACATTTGAGCATCTTGGAGGCAGAATTCCACCGGGTGGACCACGTTGAACTGGTGACTCTTGCTGCTGTCCGCATGCACTTTGCTCTCAACTCTCCAGAGTTTCATTGTTGAAGTGCCAACAATCTCCCCACATTTAGCCACAACAGTTTTCAAACCACAGGTTCCTCCGCAGGGTAGATGTTGGGATGGAAGTAGCCTAGCAGCGAGCTTAGCCTAGCAGCGAGCTTAGCCTAGCAGCGAGCTTAGCCTAGCGGTGCTTTAAGTGGTCCCTTTGCTCTGCACACTTCTCCGCTGTATGTTGCGCCTCAGTGAGTTTCACTTTCAATGCAAAAAGCTCTTTTTCCATCTTGAGCTACTGTGTTGCTTTCGCCGATGTAACTGACTGCAGCTAGCGGCCCTTTCGTTTCCACGATGGAAACTTTGTTATATATAACTTTGTCATAACATGCCACACAAAAGCATTCTCTTAACAGGCAGCCATGTGGGTGTATGTCTGTGTAAACACTGCGACAGTGCTCCTCAAACTCGCTTATGTCAACACTTTGTATGAGGAGTTTTAGCAGACTCCCTCATGCACGAACAATTTAACACCCTGCGACGTGCTTGGTTTAAAACGCTAGATAGCATCTATTGGCCCGGTCGGTTCAAACGGGACACATCCTGGATCACAGCAGCGGGGAATCAACACGAGGCGCTGAGGACACTCGCTGCGTCAACACAGACAGCAGCTGCAGAGGCTCGCTGTCCCACGAGCCCTTCAGGGACTTATTTACCTTTGAGCTCAGTGCACGTCATCGAACTGTGCCGATTTAAGAAAAGGTAGAACATTTGTGTTTGAGAAGGGTGGAAGGATGCACAGGAACGACATTTCAACGAGTGACATTATCTCAACCTATGCTTTTGTTAAAAAAGCAAGTAGGAGCCTAAGGCCCGCTGACCTTTTCAGGATCTTTCAACCAGTTTTCCCAGGATGGAAGTTCCATGCTTCCCAAAAGTGATTCTGGCTCGATTGACTATTGGCCGGAGGGATTCTTGTCAAGAAGTTAGTTAATATAACAGCTTGTAAGGAGTCCCTGTGTCCAATATCAGGATGTTTGTTTGTACATATGTTATGTAGAAAGGCTGCAGCCTCATCAGTAACAGGAGTACTGTGTTTACCGAACCCTCACAGCATGAAATACTATCCTAAGTTTGTACTAATGGGGGATAACAATAAGGCTGACAGCTGCACTTGTTGTGTGTGTACATATCAAAAAGCTACAGCCCAGACATCCCTCCCCCTTCCAGCATTGATGGTATGATGATCATTTAAAAAGGATAAAGCTTTGGATTTAAGGGCCCAAACATTTGCTGATCCACGTCACTGTGGGAGAAAAATGCATCAAAGAACCTTTGACTCTGCTCTGCATGCTGATTGACACCTGTGTGCAGCGCGCCGTCCCACTCGGACGTGCGTATCAATGCAGCGGCCTGTGTGCGCGAGTGCGTCCGGCACACACTCCCCAAACAGAGGGGGTCCCTGTTTGGAGCAGACACAGCCCGGGAAGCTTTGCTGTGCCTGAGGAAGAAAGAAGCCTGTGTGTGTGTGTGTGTGTGTAAGTATGTGTCAGTATTTTTTGCCTGTTCACAAGAGCACCGGAACACACAAAGACATCCGCACACCTTTCTCCGCTGTGCTGCAGGTGAAAAATCGACAAGCGGAAGAATTTGTCATATATTTCTCATCCCTTTGAAACATTTGCGGGTCATCTTGAGACACGATTCACCCAAAACTTCTATTACTTCCTTTAAACTGCCAACACTCCAAAAACCAAAACACTGCTTCATCCCTGAACCTAACCTTCGGCGCGAGATGCATATAAAGCGTTACACCAAAATGTCTTCAATAAAGGCATTCCTTCCTGTGAAACCGGACCCTAAAAGTCGGAATTGAATCTCCGGCTTTAAATACAACAATGAATGTAAATATGTATGTATGCTCGAGTGCTTCTTTGTGCATGTGTGCGTCATGCAATGCTTCTCTTGGCGGGTGGATGTGTAGCGGTCCCTGCTGCGATGAGGCCAGATGTCATTGGGAAAACTGTCCCTTTTCTTTTTTGACTGAGATTCAAAAGCAAATCCAGTCTTTACAGACTAAAAAGGCCTTTATTTGTGCCTGACCACTTCACTCTAACAGGGACCCTTACTACTGAACATGTGCTGCGTTACGCATTATGCTGTTCCCTAATAAAAAACTGTTGTTTCTTCTGGTACCTGTTCAGAAAAATGTATATGTTAACTTGCTGTTGCTCCGAGAGTGCCTGTTGTATTGTTCTGATAACATTACTTTAAAATAAAAGCGTGCAATCCTAGTTTGTAATGTAATATTGAATTGTGCGCATAATGATGTTGTTATTTTAAAAATATGTATCTGTAATTGGGGTTTGGCACATCTGTTTAAATACATTCAAGTATATATTCCGGTCTATGTGTAGGCACTGACAGTCGTGTTCCTAATCTAAAACGCAGGCAAAAAAGCTAGCTATTATTTAACGTAGTGACAGGTGTCAGGAATTCACATTCTATAGATGATCAAAAATGATTCAGTGTTAAACGGTTACACTGCCTCGAATATATATATTTTTTTGAAAATAAAAATAAAAATAGAAATTAACCCCAAAAAAACAAACAAGGGGAACCGCCAAACTGTCCGGTATGTGTTAACGAGATTCGTCCTGTTCCGAAAAAAGCTTTAACATGATTTATTGTCGTTTACCTGTTGCGGTTGAACTGCGGCGATGATCCGACATCCAGGCTGCAAAAATGAGCTCACGAAGAGGGAGGACCCGAGCGAGCGGCGACGAAGGTGTGGATCGGAAGTGGGCGTTTCCAAAGAGTCAAGTCGTGCAGATTTACGGATTAGACTTCCGGCTATGACTTTCACAATAAAAGTTGACCGTCGATGTTTGACATTTTGGTAAATACTGCGAACCTGAATCGAGGTTATTCTCTAACCTTCTTTAACAAGAAAATACAAAATATACAAATAAATATATTGATGCTTACTTTACTGGACTGCTTCTCAAATTATGTGTTTCTGTGAGCCAAAGTCATTGTTGTTTTACTAATAAAAGCTATTTATTGAAAACAAATAGAAAGGTTTCTTTTCTTTGTCTATTGAGGGTAATTTATTCTGTCATTTTTATCTTGCCTTGAGCATTTCAGATGTGTATATGAGTATGCACATGCACTTATTGAAAGGCGCTTTGGATAAAAACATCAGCTAAATGACATATAAATTAATATAACGTAAAATATGCATTTTAGGCTGCTTGTGTGAAATCAAACTAAAGGAAAGGTTATTTTAATTAATTAATTAATTAATTACTTTGAAGGGGCAACCACTTGCTGTCAGTGTTCGGCTGTTAATTGATGATTTCAGTAATTTGGCCAGTTAAACTGCCAAAAGCCAATTCCTGAGACAAACATATGTACTAAAAGGCCTTAAGTTGTTTTGACTGCTGTTTTGGAGCACCACCAACAGCCCACTGTGAGTATTGCATCTGCAAATTAACTGTCATCACCTCGCTGGTCCTTATACTTCGTCATATATCCTTAACTCAATTAGTCAATTGGAAATTTGGTGTTGAATACTCTTAAAGCAAAAATATGCAATAGACAGCAGTGATGAAAATGCAGAAATGTGAAACTGCCTTCCAAAAACATTAAACTACACTGCGGAAAACTGCTGGAATCTACATGGCTGCAAGATCTGAAAACTAAATAATTTTGTGGTCGATAAAAAAAAAGGTAAGGAAGTTACATTAGTAGTAATTGCTATAGTGATGGGAGTAGGTACGGATATAACATGGTGGTAGTAGTAATAATAATAATAGTGTGAATATTAATATTAGCTGTAGCCTCATTTTGAACTTATTCAGGAATTCCCTTAATGTTTAATTCTGTCGTATTCAATGCTAATATATCTGTAACCATTACAAGATCAGCTACATTTTAACCCAAAATGAAAGATGTGTAAATGCTGATTTTTGCTGCTCTTGATGCTCCTCTTCACTAAAACAATTATATCACATGCACTTGGCTGTGCATTACACACCTAGGAAAAATCAGAAAATAACTGAAAATATTTAAATGTTGAATAAAGATCAACATTTGAATCAAAGAACAATATTTGCTTATAAGATTACACAGCCATGTAAATAATGGTGAGCCACAAAACCTGTGCATATGGTAGATGAGGATGTATTTCAAAAGGGTTACACTGTAGAAAGAAGAATTTTTCTTGAACAGAAGAGAAAATTGATCAAGATACAAGAAACATTTCTTTCTGTTCTGTTATCCATTTACATGACAGCTTCAAAAAATGAAATAGCTTTAGTAATTTACAGTAGTATTTCATTTGAAAAAAACGAAATAGAAAAAGTCGCTGAAGGTGCAACGTCAGAAAAGGCATTAGTACCATATAAAGTGGTAGGAAAAGTAGAGATGAGTAACTGAAAGAAAACAAACAAACAATGTAATACACCAATCTGCTATCCATTGAATAAAGTCAAAAATATACTCATACAACATACAAACATACATGGCCTAGCTCCCCATGAAACAAAAGGAAAGATCTGTCCAACTGTGGCACAATCAAATCACCTTTAAAACAAAGCTTCAAACCATGAATACCGACTGCTCATGCACGGAACATTTAGTCCGATTGATACATTTTTCAAAGAAAGGTTTACCTGTGAACTTTGAAACTATATACTTTCACACAAATTTACAATATGTCATCATCTACATTCTTCCCCAGCAAAACATACATCTTCATAGCAACCGTTCAGCCTAAAACTAACCCGTCTCTTGTGTCGGCTCGAACCGAGAACATCAAGTGATGCTCACCTCCTGTTAGTGAACTCCAGATCTGTGAGAGTCATCGGACACATGTTCTTGCTCTTCTTTGCTCCAAGTGTTCATCAAACATTGAGGATTCTAATTTTCTGATTTGACATCATGAAGAGGACAACGTTGTGGCTCTGGGTCTGGTTCTGGAGTCGTACTGCCATAGCGTGGATCATATTCCTCCTCTTTTATCTCCAGTTTTACCCAGAGAGGACTGTCACAACGTGTACCCAACAGCTGCTCATCAGTCTGCACAACTGTCCCCGGATCTGTTGGGTACTGCGTGTCCTCATTAGGCGACAGAAGTTTCTCATTAACTTTGTCCCTGTCGACAAAATGCAGATTGTATACATCTGAAAAGTATGTCGCTTGTCGATCCACACAACCCTTGGGACCAGCATTAGCAGCATCTGAATTTGGCTCGTTCTGGGAAGCAAGTTTCACGTTTGTTTGACAGCCTTTAATCATCGAAGCATTCATTGCATTTTTCTCCCGCAAAGCAGGAAATTGTGCAACTGAACTTTTGATATCTCCACATTCTCGGCTTACTTTTCTTCGAGGAGTTGTCCTTGGCGGTTTGCCCAGTGTTTTCACTGCCATCTTACTTTTTTTCATAGTTCCCGTCAAATCACTCCCATAAGCAGGTTGTTGGGATGGACGAATATCAAACACTTCATTTAGCCACGTGAGCCCAACATCCTTTTGGCTCTTCAGTCTGGCGTCAAAACCAAAAAGATACAGTTCGTCAATATTGAAGTTGTGTTGAAGGATATCATTAATGAGCCCATGTTTCCCTCCAGACAATTCATTTGAGTAGCAAACAAGTTCTCTCATAACTTTGTATGTCAATAGATGCGGGTCAAGCTTATCTATTGGCTGGTCTTTGTCAAACAACAGGTTTAAACGAATTTCCTTGCAGAAAGGGTGAATGTCCATCATCTTCTCCTCTATTGCTGAGAGGGTGGAGGACGGCTCCTTGTCTGACTTTTGTGTGGTGGAGTTTTCATCGGCAGAGCCTGCATCAATCATGGTGCTTTGAGGAGGATGATGAATGGCACCTGAGACGGATTCATCGCGACGATGTTCATTTCGTAATAATTCTTCATAGCAGTAGGGGCAACTTGAGGTTCTCAGATGGTAAGGTTCTGGTATGCAATTTGTGTCAGGGAGGTCAAACGTCTTTTTCATCACAGGAACTTTGTTGCTTTTCTTTGTTCTCATGTACATAATTTGATCAATAGTTTTTTGTGCAAAGGCAATGCGATTCAGCTCGTTGTTGAAATCCAAATGAAAATTATGCTCCAGTATCTCGGTGATGAAATACCTTTGAGCTGATACCATCTCTGTGGCAAAAGTTAAAAGTTCAACCATGATGCCATTGGTCAGTAATTTGGGATCAAGATTCTGTTTGACTCCAGATCCTACATTGAAATCAATGCCCAGGTTCTTGCATCCAGAGTAAGAATAAAGTGGACAATGTTCTAGATGAGGTCTTGAGAGGATTCGCTGAATTTGATTCTTCCTCAATTGCCACAGCTTTAATTTGAGATTTTTGTGGTTTCCCATGTCTTGATTAATGATTATAGCGTTGGAAGAACCGGCAGCACATGAGTGGAGGTTTGGGTTACGGGCAATCTGATAGAACCGATGATTCCTACCTCTCATATATGATTTCTTGGTAGCCCTAAGTTTCCTTTTATGGTTGGCAAAAGGAATTCGTGCAAGCATACTCTTGACATAGTCAGAACCTCCACATTGCAAATCAAGATCCAAGTTGTGTTTTAGGATGTCAACACAAATCTGCTCAAACGTTCCACACAAGCTTTCTGCAAAGTTTGTCACTTCCGTCATTGCTCCATAGGTCAGTCTGTTGATATCCTGTTTCTCATTTGGTTGAGTATTGTCCACATGTAGTTTCAAACCAATCTCCTTGCAGAAGGGATAAAGATCCATACTGTTTAGTGAAATATTTTCTTCAGTTTCAGCCTGTGAATGAAGAGGAAACCCATAGGCGACTTCACTCTCCTCCATCTTTGATATGCTGCTGAGTTCAGCGTTGACACTGTTCACACTCTGACTGGCCGTCCTTATTGGTGGAAGGGGACCATGCAGCTTAAATACCTCTTTGGAGAACTTGACTGAATCTTCACATTCCTTCAGATGTCTGACTCTTTTCATCATTTCACAGGTGAAAAGATTTCTCTGGGGTTCAGATTTCAGGTTGAGGTCAAAGTTGTACTCAAGAATCTCCATGATGAAATCCTGTTGGGATGAATTCATTGCGAGGGCAAATTCAGCAATTTCAAGAAGAATATAATCAAGCAAAGAGTCAACACTGAAGTTTTGCTTTGGTTCATATCCAACATTGAATTGAAAGCCATGCTTTTTGGACCAAACGAATGAACCAAACTCTTCAGCAGAGAGGATTTGTTTCACTCGGTTTGCCCGCATCTTCCACATGTTGTCCTCTATTTCCATTTCATCTCGTTCTACGACACATTCAGTTGGAGTCGGTGTTTGCTCTTCACCTCCACCAAGCCCTTGTTCATCAGGTTCACACATCTGTGACTTGACCCTTGCCTTTAGAATTGGCAGACTTGATGAAACGTCGGTGGTGAGGGAAGACGCATGAACACCCAGACAACTTGCTTCTGATTCTCTACAGACGTCTGAGCTGAGAGAGTAACTTTTGGGTTTCTGTAAGTGATCTTGATTCATAGAGTTTTCGGAGTCTGTGACTTCATCTGACTCTATATCAGACTCTTCTAAAGGACGAGTGTAGCAGTTCTCTGGTCCTATTTCTTCCTGTTCCATGTCACCAATATATTTGGTCGTTGGCTTCAAGTTCAGTTTTTCACTCTCTCCTGATGTTAACCCGTTTTCAGTGAGAGTGGAAAAGCGGCTTACTTTTCTTCGAGGGGTTGTCCTTGCCGTTTTCTCCTGTGTTTCGACTGGCAATGTCCTTTTTTTGATCATTTCCTTCCATTCACTCCCATGTCCAGGTTGTTTGCGAGCATACGGTTGAATATCAAATGCTTCATCTAGCCAGGCAAGCATCAAATCATTTTGTCTCTTCGGTTTGGAGAGATTCAAAAAAGGATTTATTTGTTGAGCCAGCGCGCCAACGTTGAAGTTGTGTTGAAGGACGTCATTAATGATCTTATTCTTATTTCCACACAAATATTTTGCGTAGGAAACAACTTCTCTCATAACCCCGCGTGTCAATACATGCAGGTCAAGCTTACGTCTTGGCTGGTCTTTGTCCACCAGCAGTTTCAAACTTATTTCCTTGCAGAGGGGGTACTTGTCCATTATAATCTCCTCTATTGCTGAAAAGGTGAAGGACGGATCCTTTGCTGGCTTTTGTGTGATGGAGTTTCCATCAGCAGAGCCGGCATCAGTCATGGTGTGTTGAGGAGGATGATGATGAAGAATGGGACCTGAGACGGATTCATCACGACGATGCTCATTATTTCTGACTTGATAGCATTTGGGGCAATACAAGGTTCTCAGATCGGAAGGTTTTGGTATGCACTTAGTGTCAGAGAGGTCAAACGTCTTTTTCATTACAGGAACTTTGTTGTATTTTATTGTTCTCATGTACATAATTTGATTAAGAGTTTTTTGTGCAAAGGCACAGCGATTCAGCTCATTGTTGAAATCTAGATGAAAATTATGCTCCAGTATCTCAGTGACGAAATAGTATTGGGCTGATACCATCTCTTTGGCAAAAGTAGAAAGTTCAACCATGATGCCATTGGTTAGTAGTTTGAGATCAATATTCTGTTGGGCTCCAGATCCTACGTTGAAATCAATGCCCATTTTCTTGCATCTGGTGAAAGAATACAATGGACAATGTTCTACATGAGGTCTTGAAAGGATTCGCTGAATTTGATTTTCCCTCAACTGCCACAGATTATGATTATTCTGGATTTCTACATCTTGATTCAAGGTAGCAGCGTTGGAAGAACTGGCATTAAGTGCATGGGAATTTGGGTTGGTCATGGCATTGAGGTTAATGTCGAACAATGAAGGTATTATGCCCGTTTTTGTCTTTCTAGTCCTATTTAGATTCCTTTTATCTTTTGCAAAAGATATTCTAGCAAGCATACTTTTGACATGGTCAGAATCTCCACATTGCATATCAAGACCAAAGTTGTGTTTTAGGATGTCAACACAAATCTGCTCAAATGTTCCACACAAGATTTCTGCAAAGTTTGTCACTTCCGTCATTGCTCCATAGGTCAGTCTGTTGATATCCTGTTTCTCATTTGGTTGAGTATTATCCACATGTAGTTTCAGACCAATCTCCTTGCAGAAGGGATAAAGATCCACACTGTTCACTGAAATATCTTCTTCAGTCTGTGAATGAAGAGGAAACCCACAGGCGACTTCACTCTCCTCCATCTTTGATATGCTGCTGAGTTCAGCGTTGACACTGTTCACACTCTGACTGGCCGTCCTTATTGGTGGAAGGGGACCATGCAGCTTAAAGACCTCTTTGGAGAACTTGACTGAATCTTCACATTCCTTCAGATGTCTGACTCTTTTCATCATTTCATAGGTGAAAAAATTTCTCTGGAATTCAGACTTCAGGTTGAGGTCAAAATTGTTCTCAAGTATCTCCATGATGAAACCTTGTTGGGATGAATTCATTACGAGGGCAAATGCAGCAATTTCAAGAAGAACATTATCAGTCGAAGAGTCAACACTGAAGTTTTTCTTAGTTTTTCTCTTTCCATATCCAACATTGAATTCAAGGCCACACATTCTGGAAAAGTTGAATGGACCAAACTCTTCAGCAGAGAGGATATGTTTTACACGATTTGCCCTCAATTTCCACATGCTTTTCTCCGTTCCGGTTTCCTCTTGTTTTAAGTCACATTCAGTTGGAGTCTGTCTTTGCTCTTCACCTCCACCAACCCCTCGTTCATCAGGTTGACACATCAGTGACCTGGCGCTTTCCTTTACAATCGGTAGACTTGATGATTTGTCGGTGGTGGTGGTGGTGGTGAGGGCAGACTCACAAACACCCAGACTACTTGCTTCCAAGTAAGCTTGATTGCCAGAGATTCCTGAGTTTGTGACTTTGCCCGAGTGTAGATCAGACTCAGAATTGTTGTCTGTGTTGGATACTATGTTGAAGTTGGATATTTCCTCTCCACACGTAATGCGCCACTGCCATACTTTGTCAGAATCCATCTCTTTTTGGTCCTCCTGACTGCAGGTGTCCATGTTGTCCATTAAGGTGATGTATCATTCCACATCTTCCTTATCTGTATTCAGTTCAGGGGAAAAAAACATACATATCTCAGCCGGGATATATTTAACAGACGGCTACTATCTTAGACTTTACGCTCACAGCCTCTCATATGTCAGGAACTCAGATCTAAACTCCTAACACGGTGGCCAATAAAGTTGGAAAGAATCAGCGAGCATTTTTTTAGAGATGAGATTAGTGTGATTTCTCCAGCAGCAATATGCAGGGGCTGCAGCTAAAGTTACCAGAGGTTGCATTGAGTTTTAATAAGAAGCAGTGGACTCTACAAACTGCCTTCCTCAGAAGTCCTTTTCGATCGTATATGCTTAATTTAATAAAACAATCGCTTTTTCAGAAGCACAATCACATCAACGTTAACAGGCTTTCGGGCATTTTGAGACAGGCACGATCATGGACAAAAAGGTACGAAACAAACGGCAATACGTAACTAAGGGAGGCGGTATAATAGTCGCTGCTAACTACACGCAGTGTTTCCCTTATGACGTATTCTTGTGTAAAACAAGGCTTCAAATGTGTAAACTGGAGAATTAGAAACACTTACGGTAACGGGAATAAAGAAGGGTCCGGAACCTTTAAAGGAAGTGACGACGATGAATTAACTAGTCATTTCAGAATAAAAGTGTCTAGAAACGGAGCGTCTGTGATTAAAGCGGAATTTTTAAAGTACTAGCAGTAGTAATACTATAAATATTAGTCATATTAACTGTATTAGATTATTTTGTCATTCAACGAAAAAAAGCCTAATTTTGAGCCTTGTGCTTGAAAACAGTTAACCCACACTGGGGCTTTATTTTGGAAATGGGGAAGACACGACGATCTTCCTGGGGAGACAAAGAGAGAAACAGAAAAACAGAAGATAATGTAGCTCTCACTGCTTTGATTTCAGACAGTGAGACGAGGGACAACTTGATCGTTTAGGAGTCAGAAGTAACCTAGGACTTAATTTGGCGGATAGTTTTCACTTCCCCTTGTTGCAGGCTACTTCTGCCAAGTGTGTAATTCTATTGCATGCCATGGTAATATTTCTGTGACTAGTACAAGATAAGCTACATTTTGACCCAAAATGATGGATGACGAGTGAAAGTTGTATGAATCCTGATATTTCACAATATTCTGATGCTCCTCTCGGTTGTAACAACTACATCACACGCACTTCGCTTTGCAATATACACAAAGTATAAAATCAGAAAAGGACTGATAAGATTCAAATGTTGAATACAGATTTACAGTAAAGAACAATATTTGCTGATTTAGCATGCCAAAAGAATGATGATCTACAAACCTGTGTATATAGTAGACATTGATGTATTTTAAAAGGATTACACGGTAGAAAGGATGCTTTTAAAAATGTTTTTATAAAATGAACTTAAACAGAAGAGAAAATTATGACAACATATCAAGATACAGGAAATGTTACTTTCTGCTGTGTAAATCAAATTATGATGAAATCAATGATTCTTTATGCATTTACATAACAGCTTCAAGAAAAAGAACTTTAGTAATTTACTGTAGTATTTCCATTTGTAAAAAAAATAGAATAGGATGACTGAAGGTGAAAGATCAGAAAAGGCATAGTATCATATGAAGTGGTAGAAAACGTAAAGATGAACAACTGAAAAAACAAACAATGTAATACACGTATCTGCTATCCATTGAATAAAGTAAAAAATATACTTCACAAATTCTTACAAACTTGAGAAATGACCGTTTCTCCCCACGGAACAAAAGGAAAGATCTTAACTAAAGTCCAACTGTGGCACAATCAAACCGCCTTTAAAACGAAGCTTCAAAACATGAATACTGACAGCTAATGCACGGAAACCTTTTAGTCTGATCGATCCATCTTTTTAGGAAAGGTTTAGTAAACTTTTAAAATATACTTTCAAACCAATTTATAATAATCTACATTCTCCCCCAGCAGATACATCTTCATAGCAACCGTTCAGCCTAAAACTAACCTGTCTGTGTCGGCTCTAACCGAGAACATCAAGTGATGCTCACCTCCTGTTTGTGAACTCCAGACCTGTGAGAGTCATCGGGCACATGTTCTCTCTCTTCTTTGCTCCAAGTGCTCTCATCGCATCTGTAACCTCAGCTCCAATGAGTATGAGAGTGTTTGTGTGGTCCTCGCCGTGTTCGGACATCGGACAGATTCTTGTGGTTCGTCCAGCAAACATTGAGGATTCTAATTTTCTGATTTGACATCAAGAAGAGGACAACGTTGTCGCTCTGGGTCTGGTTCTGGAGTCGTACTGCCATAGCGTGGATCATATTCCTCCTCTTTTATCTCCAGTTTTACCCAGAGAGGACTGTCACAACGTGTATCCAACAGCTTCTCATCCGTCTGCACAACGGTCCCCGGATTTGTTGGGAACTGCGTGTCCTCATTAGGCGACAGAAGTTTCTCGTTAACTTTGTCCCTGCCGACTAAATGCAGATTGTATACATCTGAAAAGTATCTCACTTGTCGCACCGAACGAACTTTGTTCATTTTCTTGGCTGGAACATTCACGGCATCTTGTTTAGCTTTTGTTAGCAGTGACAACTTTCTTTTTTTGATACTTTGCATCATCTCACTCCCATGCGCATCCCGCGTCCGTTTCCTTTTGCTGATGACACTAGGATGTTGGATAACAAATACCTCATTGAGCCAGGAGAGGAAGTCATCGTGTTCTAGGATCTCTTTGTAGAACACTGTGTCAATATCTATTTCTCTCTCCGGCATGCCAATGATGAAGTTGTGTCGAAGGACATCATTTATGATCCCACTTTTTGTTCCTGACAACCTTTCGGCAAAACTAGCCACTTCCCGAAACGTACAGTGTGTCAATACGTGCGTCTCAAGCTTATTTTTTGGTTGGTCTTTGTTCACAAACAGGTTCAAATCTATTTCCATGCAGAGAGGGTAACTATCCATCATCTCCTCCGCTATTTCCCACGAGGTGGAGGACGCATTGGTTGCTGCGCCGTTTGCATCAGTCGTGGAATGTGGACGAGGATGATGAATGGGACCTGAGAGGGATTCATCCTGATGATGCTTTTGATTTCTGACTTGATAGCATTTGGGGCAATATAGATCTTTCTCAGAGCCTGGTTCTGGTGTGCCATTTGTGTCAGGAAGTTCAAATTCTTTTTTGAAATTTTGAGGATTTGGACTCCTAACTTTAATTTGAATCTCCTTTGCAAAGGCACAGCGATTCAGCTCATTGTTGAAATCCAGATGAAAATTATGCTCCAGTATCTCTGTGATGAAATACTTTTGGGCTGATACCATCTCTGTGGCAAAAGTAGAAAGTTCAACCATGATGCCATTGGTTAGTAGTTTGGCATCAATATTCTGTTGGACTCCAGATCCTACATTGAAATCAATGCCCAGTTTCTTGCATCTGGAGTAAGAATAAAGTGGACAATGTTCTACATGAGGTCTTGAGAGGATTCGCTGAATTTGATTCTCCCTCAACTGCCACAGTTTTAAGTTGAGCTTAGGTTGGTGTTTTGTGTCAAACAAACTACCTTCTTGATTTTTGACTGAAGCCTGGCAAGAACTGGCATTAGCAGGATCTGAATTTGAGAGGTTCAGGGATTCCAGTTTCACGTTTGTTAAGCCTTTTGTCTTGTGGCCTCTAATTGATAGAACCTTTATTACATTTTTTTTCTCCAGCACAGCAGGGATTCGTGCAACCATACTTTTGACATAGTAAAATCCTCCACATTGCAAATCAAGATCCAAGTTGTGTTTTAGGATGTCAACACAAATCTGCTCAAATGTTCCACACAAGCTTTCTGCAAAGTTTGTCACTTCCGTCATCGCTCCATAGGTCAGTCTGTTGATATCCTGTTTCTTTTTTGGTTGAGTAATGTCCACATGTAGTTTCAGACCAATCTTCTTGCAGAAGGGATACAGATCCATACTGTTTACTGAAATATGTTCTTCAGCCTGTGAATGAAGAGGAAACCCACAGGCGACTTCACTCTCCTCCATCTTTGATATGCTGCTGAGTTCAGCGTTGACACTGTTCACACTCTGACTGGCCGTCCTTATTGGTGGAAGGGGACCATGCAGCTTAAAGACCTCTTTGGAGAACTTGACTGAATCTTCACATTCCTTCAGATGTCTGACTCTTTTCATCATTTCATAGGTGAAAAAATTTCTCTGGAATTCAGACTTCAGGTTGAGGTCAAAATTGTTCTCAAGTATCTCCATGATGAAATCCTGTTGAGATGAATTCATTGCGAGGGCAAATTTAGCAAGTTCAACCAAAAATGAATCACGCACTAAGTCAACACTGAAGTTTTTCTTTGGTCCATATCCAACGTTGAATTCAAGGCCAAAACTCTTGGACTTATTGAATGGACCAAACTCTTCAGCAGAGAGGATTTGTTTCACTCGGTTTGCCCGCATCTTCCACATGTTGATCTCCGTTCCCATTCCCTCTTTTTTCATGTCACATTTAGCTGGTGCACTTGTTGGAATATGTGTTTGCTCTCCACCTCCACCAAGCCCTCGTTCATCAGGTTGACACATCAGTGACTTGGCGTTTGCAACAGTTTGACTCAAAGAGTTGTTAGTGGTCGTGGTGAGGGACGGCTCATGAACGTCCAGACAACTTGCTTTTGATTCTCTACAGACATCTGTTCTTAGAGAGCAACGTTTGGGTTTCTGTAAGTGATCTTGATTGCTATAGTTCTTTGAATCTGCGACTTCATCTGACTCTATATCAGACTCTTCTAAAGGACGAGTGTAGTAGTTCTCTGGTCCTATTTCTTCCTGTTCCATGTCACCAATATATTTGGTCTTTGGCTTCAAGTTCAGTCTTTCACTCTCTCCTGATCTCAATGCGTTTTCAGGGAGAGTTGATAAGCAACGTACTTTTCTTCGAAGATTTGTTGTTGCAGTTTCCTCCGGTTTTTGCACTGCCAGCTTCCTGTTTTTTATAGTTTCCTTCAATTCACTCCCATGTCCACGTTGTTTGCGAGGATACGGTTGAATATCAAATGCTTCATCTAGCCAGGCAAGCATTAAATCATTTTGTCTCTTCGGTTTGGAGAGATTCAGAACAGGATTTATTTGTTGAGCCAGTTTGCCAATGTTGAAGTTGTGTTGAAGGACATCATTGATGATCTGGTTTTTATTTCCACACAGGTATGTTGCGTAATGAGCAACTTCTCTCATAACCCTGCGTGTCATATATACATATATATATATATATATACATATATACATATATATATATATACATATATACATATATATATATATATACATATATACATATATATACATATACATATATACATATATATATATACATATATACATATATACATATATATATATATGTATATATATATATATATATATATATGACATGTAAGCAATATAATTTAATATAATATAATATAATTTAAAATATCAGCAAGTGCTTCCTACTGCATGTGCAGTTCATGGCAGTCATAGGGACTTATGTGAATTGTTTGAATGTGGGAAGTGATTTGCAGAGGAAGGGGCAGTGTTTGTGCTTTTGGACAGTTTCTTATGACAGGATATTGAAGTGCTTGTGGACACATGGGATGGGGCATCAAGTTATTATTGATTTTTATTGAGAAACACAATTTTCTCCACAGAATTGGGGTTGAGTCGGTTTCTTAGATACTATTTCCCCTGCCTTACAAAAAAGGCGCTTACACGACACGATGAGCCACGAATGCTCAAAAGATTACGTGCTAATACAAATAGATGTGGGTACACATGTTTGTGTTTGATCCAATATTTTAGCGGGTGTTCACTCTGTGGAATGTTTGATTCAGCCAAATATCGGGTGGTCTCCACAATAAAATAAACATCCATAATTACACAATACAAATGACAGACTTTGCCTGCCTATTACAAACCTTGTTAGAGGAAATCAAATTGAAGTGCTCCCACATCTCGGAGCGACCTCTCTTTGCCACAGGTTCCATTGTAAATTTGCTACTACTACTACAACAACACTGACTTTGACTGTATCAAACAGACAAGCCCCAACCCTGTTTCGCGCCCATTTGAATCAATTCGAAGCGGTCACGTGACTGTGCGCCGGAACGAAGCTTCGGACGTCACTGATGACGTCACTGAGCCGGAGCGAAGCTTCGGACGTCACTGATCACGTGATCAGCAGCGAACGAACCGAGCACCGATACAATTGCTTCGCCCTGCACTGGTTCATATTTCGACACAAGCTTCGAAGCAGGAGGGTGGGAGGTAACAACACTAGTATTTGGTCATTTGAACTGGTGACGGTTAAGTTATTGTTGTTATTCTGTCTGTGGTTATCACGTTGTTTGAACGATTCAGTTTTTGTTTCTTCAGTTGTCCCAGGGAAAAGGGGACCGCACAATGGGAGTGTGTAGGTAAGAGACCCTGGGGTTTACATACTACCCGTAGATAAACCTCTGTCTATATACACTAGGTAAGACCTGGGCGGACCATGTAATGGGAAAATGATATGTGACCCTTTTAAATGCTTCATTTGTATAACCAGTTTATTAGTTGCAAGTGCTTAGATCAAAAAGGCCCTGACATAAGAACTGATGTCTCCCACTTGCCAATCGCCAAGACAAATTCCTTGTATGTTTGACATATTTTGGCTAATAAATGTTTCCTGATTCCTGATTCCTGATCCTGATTGGATTAGATGTTTCCAGCGTCATAGCTGTAGAGATTGAACAAAGTGTTTGTTATGTCTATGACCACCTTTGTTTTAGCATGTTGGGAGAGCAAGGATACGGTCAAAGAACTGACGTGTCTTACATGGATAAGATGTTCCCAGTACCCTGGCTGTAGAGACTCAACAAGATGGTCAAAGTTTTCTGTTGACGCCACCGATATCTAAGCTTAGGTATAAGAACTGCCTCGATGTGTTGAGGGCAGGAAGGAGGTTCTTGACAGTCTACAGACCACGTAGCTGTTGTGACCCTCTTTTCCTTGCAAGGAAATAAACGGAGAAAAGACATACTTGACTTAGAGCCTTTGTTTCTTACTTAACGATTGTCTGTGCAAAATCTTCCACTACAACCACCCCCTGTATTTATCAGAGTTTTGCAGATTGTGTTTAGACTAGATAGGTTAGGGGTCTTTTTCATTGGTTAATTTCTTTGCTTCCGCTCAGCCCCTTTTCCCCCACTACCGTATTATAGGTGAAATAAACCTCGTTTAAACGGTACTTTGTTTTGTTGGTCCTGCTTGTGCGCCCACGCAAATTTTTTCACCTCACCCACCTTTTGGTCAGCTCACGTGTGACGTCCCCACCACCACAATGACAACTCGCTCTGTACTGAATGGAGGGAGATTAATAGGCTTTTCCAGGGACAGCAGCTATTTAAAATCAGCCCTGCAAGACGGTCTAATCAGCTGCGCCGGGTGTTCACGTCTTTAAAACCTCTGTGCTTTTTGTGCTATTGTGGCCAAACTCTCCCATTGTGGACACAAACTGGAGTTATTAAAAAAGACAGGTGGGCACTTTCTTTGCGATAGCGTTGAGGATTCTGCCTCTCATCTCATCCCAGGGACGCTACATACATGTTAATATTAGAGTAAAGTCTCCCTATTTGTTGAAGTGAGTTACATTAATGCATCTTTTAGAATATAATCTCTATATATTATCTTTATGTATTCGGTCGTGATGTTAGCTTGCTACATACCTCGTAAGACTGGATGGAGCTTAGTTAGGACTTCCTCTATCATGTCCGACTCACACGGCATCTCTGCAGTCGGACATCCCTCAGTCTGTGCAACCCTGAATTAATAGAGGAGGGGGAAAAAGGGAATAACTTTTCAGGGAATATTTCATGCTCACCAAGCTGGACAGTTTGAGCACAACGCATGTCCTCAAAATGGTTTCACTTTTCCTTTTTTTATTTCCTTTTTCTAATGTGGCTGTATGTTAGGGTTGGTGATGAAGCTGGGACCCCCCTATCGGCCCCCAGCGCCCACTCCGGAGATCGCAACCCCCAGTTTGGGAAACACTTCTACCAAATACAGTTACAGGTTTCATTTAGCTGGCACTTCTATCCAAGCGAGACACAATAAGTAAATCAAACCAAGAGGATAAAAACCATGCACCACAGGAATCGAGAAAGTACAATTTCTTCAAGAAATCCAAATGTGCTATAAGTAAATGCTAATGAAATGGTACCAAACAAAAAGAGGCTCCACTTTGATTTCTGTGGTGGAAGATTTTGCACAGACAATCGTTAAGTAAGAATCAAAGGCTCTGAGTCAAGTATGTCTTTTCTCCGTTTATTTCCTTGCAAGGGAAAAAGGGTCACAACAGCTACGTGGTCAGTAGACTGTCAAGAACCTCCTTTTTTCCTCCCAACACCTCGAGGCAGTTCTTATACCTAAACTTAGATATCGGTGGCGTCAACAGAAACCGTTAACCATCTTGTTGAGTCTCTACAGCCAGGGTACTGGGAACACCTTGCGCATGTGAACCAGACACCAGTTCTTTGACCGTGTCCTTGCTCTCCCAACATGCTTAAACAAAGGTGGTCATAGACATGACAAACACTTTGTTCAGTCTCTACAGCTATGCCGCTGGAAACATCTAATCCAAGTGGGAGACATCAGTTCGTATGTCAGGGCCTTTGTGATCTAAGCACTTGCAACTAATAAACTGGTTATACAAATGAAGCATTTAAAAGGGTCACATATCATTTTCCCATTACATTTCACGAGTCAAAAAGGTGTTGCTTTTTCGATCGTGTATTCTTAATTTAAGAAAGCAATCACTGTTTCGAACACACATCAGCCTCAGCAGCCATGGTCTCGTTTTTAGTCAGGCACAACCACGGACAAAAAAAGGGACGAAACTAACGTGCCAATGCGTAACTTACCAAACGGAGGCGGAATAATATTCGCTGTTTACTGCACGCAGTGTTTCCCTGATGATGTATTCTTGTGTAAAGCGAGGCTTCAAATCTGTAAACTGGAGAATTACGACCGCGAACGTCAACGTGAGGAAGAACCACCCGGAACCTTCACAGGACGTGACGACGTGTGCGGGGATTTCAAAATAAATATGTATAAAAACTGAGCGTCATGAAAACGAGATTACAACGTGCTATTTTAAATGCCATATGGCCCCTCGTTTTGTGTAGCACTTTATACATCCAATCAAACAAACTCTTAACAAGCACGGATGCCTTATATCAAGTAACTGTTTAAGTTACTGCCCTCTTTTTCATAAACATTTTTTGCAAGCTTGGATATATATATATATATATATATATATATATATATATATATATATATGCAGGGTAGATGTTGAGATGGAAGAAGTCTAGCTGAAGGTCTTTACTCTCCAAGTTGACGTTAAATTGTTGTACTCAAGAATCTCCATGATGAAACCGAAGTTAAAAACTGCTCACAATGCTCAAACTTTAACACTTCGGGCCATAGAGAACCCGACAATGTGTTGACAAATGCTTTTCACTCCAAACTCTTTAGCAGAGCTCGCGTATTTCATTTGAAATTATTTCACAGGGCTTCAAGGATGAACGAACGCCACCATTCTCTGGACTCGATTACTTCTGCCTGCAACTTGCGCGCGTATTTCGCGGGCGACTCCCTTAATCGTAAACTAGACAGATGGATCACTTGGTAGTTGGAAAATGGGTTCGTCTCTAGGCGCCAAACATCTCTCACACTAGATTTAATTTCTCAGAACGTTTCAGAATTCGTTTTCAATTTACTATGTTTTGTGTTCTATTTATAATCTGAACACACATAAATATACATTTAGAATCTGACTTCATACACCACCATTGTTACACAATAACAATACTATATCAATACAGCAATAATTTGGACCGCAGCTTTTTTTTAGGGTCAACATCTTACACCACAAGAAGAATAAAAGTTTTAAATCCTTAAGGTCCAGTCCAAATTAAGTCACAGCAAAAGTCTTTAAGGTCTGTGACTAAATGACCAAAAGAAAGATTCCATTCCATTTATTTACCTTAAAAAATACTTTTTCTTATGCATAGATCTCTATATCCATCGCTTGCTGGGTCCAATTCTTTTCCTTCAGGTCTAACACTGTCAAGGAGTGGGAACTGTAAATAATTTACAATAATTCTTGGTTTCTGAAAAAAAACTCCTCCAAGCGTTGACCAGTAGTGAATGTCTCGCGGTAATCCCATCCATATTTAAAGGGCTGCTGATGCTTTTCTGGGGGGACGCTTTGGTGCCGGTAAACAGAGACAGAGTGAGAGCTCTTCTCTTGCGTCTCATCCCGATGACGCCACACAGGCACGCGGCTTTCCCTTCTCTGTGCGTTGATCGCGGCCCCTTGCCATCAGTAGAAAAGTTAGCCACACAGTCGCTTTTATTTATTTATTTTGTTGCAACAATACTACAGAAGCATGGCGGACGCTCAAGAGGACAAGCTGTACAAAGCGGAATATGCCAAGAGCGGCCGCGCGTCGTGCAAGAAATGCAAGGAAAACATAGCGAAAGACTCGCTGAGAATGGCCATCATGGTGCAGGTAACGACGTCCGCAGGCGCTTCGTCCGAATAGGCTTTAGCTTCATCTTTTTTTTTGCGCCAGCGTGCCGTCGTGCGTGAAACCGGGGCCATGCTTTTACTCTGCGAATGCATACGACGTGGGAACCAGCACGCGCGTTGTGCAGTGGGGGGGTTGTGTTGTGTTGTGTTAGGCCCTCGTTAGCATTCTAGATGGCTGTCGTTGTCTCTTTGGCTCACAAAGAGCCGTCGAGGCTTTGACTTTTTTTTTTTTCCATCTCGCGCCATCCTGCTCCTCAAAGGAAGTTTTCATTTGATGTATTTATACTTCTTTTTTTTTAATATTCGTGGCTGGATGTTACTCTTCCCACCTCAGAGGCCGAACGCACTGCAGAGTGAGCCTGCCCCAGAATGAATGAATGAATGAATGAGTGAGTGAACTTAAGAGGCTGAGGAAGCTTCCTCGCTCGCAGCTCCAGATCCTCACTCCATTTGACCTTTTCACAACTAAGGGCCAGCCCAGTCAGTAATGAGGGTTTACTTTAAATAAACAAGTTCGTTATAAACAACCAAATATTCTAAAGTGACGTCGGCCATAAAATGTGCCCCCCCATCCCCCTTTTTTTTACCTTGCAATTGAACGGTGTCTCCTCCGCACACGCTGCGTCGAGATGTCCCGCATGATGACTGAGTCGTATTGTGTTTTTGTCTTTTGTCCCTCCAGTCCCCCATGTTCGATGGCAAAGTCCCCCACTGGCACCACTTCTCCTGCTTTTGGCTGCGAGCAGCGGCCCAGTCGCCCGCCGATATTTCTGGGTATTCCGACCTGCGCTGGGCGGACCAGGAGAAAGTCAAAAAGGCCATTGAGAGTGGTGGAGCAACAGGAGGTCAGTACTCCACTTCCACTTCTAAAGGGTTGTTTTGTGTGTCACATTTCCCGCACACTCCGTGTGGGTTCGTTGAGCGGCTGACTTTTTCTATTGAGGTCGATTTGGCGTACGGAGCTTATTACACTGATACGTAGAGGCGCTTTGATTCTGTGACTTAGGAAACATCAAACATCAAATATATTCAGATAAGATGAACCTTTTATTAGTCTGTAGAGAGGAAATTCACAGGCTTTACAGCAGGGTAGTTAAAGACCAACAACAAAACAAGAATCCACAAAAAGTCAAATAATGAACTATTTACAGTGACAGTGACCATATGACTATAATATATCTGTATTTGTACTGCTAGTGATGTGTTAAAATCCATATTCTGTTGCTGTATTTATCCTGGTAATTTATCCTCAGAGAATGTGCACATATTTGCATGAAATAATCTAAACTATTGCATTCGTCATAAACATACCGGTACATGCATCCCCCGATATAAACAATAACAATGTAAAAGCTGACAGCTAAAGTAAAACGTTAGACTTTGTTGCTCCCGGCTCGCTCGGCAGTGAAAACAGGATAACTTCCTTCTTGCAGGAAAAGGGGACCAGAAGAGTGGAGCCAAAGGACCGAAGACGCTGAATGACTTTGCCGTCGAATACGCAAAGTCGAACCGCAGCACGTGCAAAGGCTGCGATCAGAAAATAGAAAAGGTGAGCCGCTCCTTTTTCATCGGCACGCAGGAAATGTTACAAATGCTCTCGTTGGATTCCAAATGACGTATGCGTCACCTTGAGTCTAATGCAGGTGGACTTGTTCCCTTTTTCTAGGATCAAATTCGCGTCTCCAAGAAAACCGTGGACGCGGAGAAGCCCCAACTGGGTCTGATCGACCGCTGGTACCACACGGCGTGTTTCGTGAGCCGCAGGGAGGAGCTGGTCTTCAAGTCTGAGTACAGCGCCGCCCAGCTGAAGGGCTTCAACGCGCTACGCGCTGAAGACAAGGAGGAACTCGAGAAGAGGCTCCCGCCTGTCAAAACCGAAGGGTGAGTCCAAAGGAAAGCGAGCCTAAAATAATCTCGTGGAAGTGAGCTTCGGCGTGCCAGCTACGGCGTTCGGCGTGTCCGTCGCGCAGACACCTCCTCCCCGCCATTGCGGCTCGGTGCGCTTGAAGCCTCGCCGGCCCTCCGCCAGCGCGTGAAAATCGCCCTGAAGGCGTCTCTGAAAGCCGTCATCGTGTAGGCGTACAGGAAAGGGTTGACGGCCGAGTTGGCGTGCGACAGGAGGATGGCGGCGAGGAGCAGCTCCAGCGGCACGGGGCAGCGCGGGCAGAGAAGCAGGAAGCAGTTGATCACGTGGAGGGGGATCCAGCAGGCGGCGAACAGGAAGAGCACCAGGAAGAGCGAGGCGGCGGTCTTCATCTCCCGGCGCATGCCAGCCGCCGCCCTCGCCGGCCCCTCCCCCCGCTCCGAAGCGATGCGCCTCACCTGCCGCTTGACCGCCACGAAGATTTTGGCGTAGATGAGAAACATGATCACCAACGGCGTCAGCACGCACGCAAAGAAGTTGAAATAGACCATGTAGGTCATGTCCACCGCCGCCACGAAGAAACAGGAGGCGTGGCCGGCTGGCGTCTTGTGCCAGCCCATCAGAGGCACGAGGCCGATGAGGAAGGCCAGCAGCCACGTGGCCAGGATCACCAGCGCCGCGTTGCGAGGCGCCATGACCGCCGCGTAGCGGAAGGGCATGAATATCGCCACGTAGCGCTCCACGGCCACCGCCAGCAAGCTGAAGATGGAGCTCTGGGTGAACATGATCAAGACGCTCAGCATGAGCAGACACAGGTAGAAGTCGTGGCGCGGCAGCCCGACGTCCGTGAGGACGGCGCAGGGAATGGCGACCGCGCCCACGCAGACGTCGGCGGCCGCCAGCGAGACCAGGAAGTAGTTGGTGACGGTGCGCAGCCTGCGGTCGAGGCCCACGGCGGCGCAGACCAGCAGGTTGCCGGCCACGGAGAGCAAGGCGATGGCGACCTCGGCCGCCACGTACGCCACGTTGAGGGAGGGCGCGGCGGGGGGGAGGGAGGGGGTGCTGTTGATGGAGGGCGGCGCGGTGGAGATCCGCAGGAAAGGAGAAGGCGGACGGGAGGAGTTCATAGCTTGGTGGAAAGCGCAGCGGTTCTCCGTGGTTTGTCCCTAAAAAATAAAAAAAATAAAAATAAAAAAAGAGAAAGAAAGAAAGAATCTGGTTAGAAGTCGAGCCGCTCAGTCGGGCGATGCGATGCCAGAACGCAAACAGGAGAGCTTGTTGTTACTGACCTGAAGAGCTACTCCGTCCTCAGCCGTCCTGACAACGCACACACTTCTTTCTCCTCGCACTAAACATCCCGCTCTGTTTGAACCCATCTGAAAGAGGTTTCTTTATAAGAGTCCCTTCTGCCTTCGGGGCATCACTAGATGTCTGATAAGGGATGTTTGTCTTGTTCCTTTACACTACAAAGGACTAGACGGAGACCAGGCTGCTGCTCGATGGTCATTAACATGGTGTGTGTGTGTGTCCCCTATGAGGAGGCTAATGAATATTTCTTGTCAGGGCAGAGTGGGTGATATCAGCATCGACACCTGGGATTGTAGAGACATGTACCTGC